CTGCTGAAACAGCCACTGATGTCACGCTTACTCGTGTGCTTTTCTGGGTTCTGTCTGGATGGCCTGACAGAAGCCCTGGTACTGAGTTCCAAAGCTTCTGGCTCAAGAGGCATGAGTTATCCACCTTTAAGAGTTGCCTGCTTTGGGGCAGCAGGGTGGTTATTCCTACCTCGTTGAGATCTAGAATCTTGATTTCCCTCCATGAGGGCCATCCTGGCATTGTCTGGATGAAGGCGCTTGTGCGCAGCCATTTATGGTGGCCAGGTCTAGACAAGGATATAGAGGCCCATGTGCATGGGTGTCACTTGTGCCAGTGTTCACGGCCGGAGATGCCTCAGGCCCCTGTACACAGGTGGGAGGAAACACATCTGCCTTGGTCCTGAGTACATGTGGACTATGCTGGGCCCTTTCAGGGGCAATTCTTCTTGGTCCTTGTGGATAGTCATTCTAAGTGGCTGGAAGTTGTTCCTGTCTCCTCCACTACTACTGCCAGGACCATCCAGGTGTTGCGAGGCATTTTTGCTGCTCACGGCCTGCCAGATGTTTTAGTTTCAGACAACGGCCCACAGTTCACGTCTTCAGAGTTCCAGGCTTTCCTACAGGCCAACATGATCCGGCATGTGACATCGGCCCCCTTCCACCCTTCCACCAACGGTATGGCTGAGAGGATGGTGCGCGTCACCAAGGAAGCCTTCAAGAAACTGACTTACGGGGACTGGCATCACAGGTTGGCAGATTTTCTTCTTGCACACCGCACCACAACTTCTGTTTCCACTGGAAAAAGCCCTGTAGAACTCTGCTGGGGTCGCAGACTGATAACTAAACTTGACAGGTTGCATCCTGACAGGTTGGCACCTCTGGTTTCCCAGCCTAGGGCGCCACGGTGTTTGCAAGTGGGCGCTCCGGTTTGGACCCGGAACTACGGTCCCGGTCATCTGTGGATTCCTGCTGTGGTCTGCAAGGTCACTGGACCATTGTCTTACGAGGTTTCCTTGGAAGACGGCCACATTCTTCGGCGGCATATTGACCAGCTGCATACAAGACTGGACTCTTCCTCTTCTACTCTTGGGTTTTCTCTGGGGGGGAAGGGGATCAACAGGAGCAAAGGGAAGGCTTGCCTCAGGGTTCCGCAAGTGTGCCCAACAGAGATTCATGGGAACAAGGAACATTGCACCAACCATTACATACTCCAGCCAGGGAGTCACTCAGGGGGTATCCACACAGTTCACAAGACCAATAAAGCACTCCAGACAGGGAGAATAACAGGGAGCATCCACATAACACAAACAATACAAGAGAACTGGCATGTAGTCAAGGGAACTGGCCAACTGCTGCAATTGCTTCCAGAAGGAAATCAGTACAAAGGGGAGTAGTCAGAGAGGCAAATCCTGACTCTGGCACTTCAGGTACAGATCAAGGGGCAATTGGGTATTGGGGCACCACAGAGACCCCAGATAACCCTGTTACAGGGCTTGGGAGTGAGGAACTGTGTTCCCAAGATTGGTCCATTGTGGACTTGGAGAATACCACAGACCCGCCAGATGGGGGATGGAGTTCTGAGGGTTCAGGTAGCCTAGAAGTAGGCAGATCATACAGGAACGCGAGGGAGCAAAGCCCTGGTCTGCATAGCCCGGTGGGCAAGCGAACAGACCAGGCGACAGGAGCCAGGTCACCAGGACCACCAGGGCAACCAAGAGGGGGCAGCCCCGCTACATCCAGTGCACAGGGAAGTCCAGGGTGTTCCCAGGGTCCGAGGAGGTCGCAACAAAGCAAACGACCTCCACAGTATCTGGAGGAGTTTGTAAGGTTGTTGTCAACTTTCTAGTAATGGGGGTGTTGGCAGTTATTCCAAAATGATAGCACGATACCATCAAGGTGTTATCAGGTAATACCTCCACAGTTCATACACCTATGGACGAATGAAGTGCCACGTTCCCTCTAGAAGTTTGCAGTTATATATATATGTATGTATGTTGGGGCAGTTTCATCCGGGGGTGAAGGGGTGTTGTGTCCTGAGCCTACAGTAGCAGGCTCGGGACGTTGTCATGGTAACGGGCTGTTGCAAAGCTGTCCGGGACCAGACAAAGTGGTGCCAGCCTGCGCGCATGCGCAGGGTGCAAAGCGCGCCATTTCCTTGTATCTTTTTTACCCGGGAAACCTGGCCATTGAAAAGGAGGAGAGAGGCCTGCGAGCCTCTGAATTATGACAGAGCAATCAGAAGGAGAATAAAGAACTTGTTGCTGACAGTATGTTTGCCTTTCTTTCACCACTAAGACAAGGACTTAACAGTATTGTTCTGAAGAGATGAGTTAGCAACTGGGGAATAACCTTGAATCATTCAGAATCTCTCAGCCCAGCTTAGTTCATGTGATTGTTACAATAGTAAAAAAGAAAGGAAGATATCCTCTGCATTAGTTACTTGGAAAAAAGGAGACAAATGAATGTTCGTATATAAATGAATATGATTTTGCTTTTGCTGTCTTGTATACCACCATAGAGATCATTTATATTGCTATATTACTTTTCTACTAGACTTTGTTAATCATTATTTAAATTAGATATTTCTTCCTGAAAATTGCTACTGGACACCTTCATAAATCAGCCTTTCTCAATTTTAACTCCTCAGATATGTCAAAATTAAAGCTCTCATTGGCTATGTAAGATTGGGAAACACTGCAATTGGCCACTGTTTCTTTGAGCTATCTGGATCCATATGTAGTCTGGACAGGAAAAAATAAACATCTTATGGTTATGAATTATTTCAAAATAGAAATACTGTCCCACACTAGAAATAGGAATGGACTCAAACCCAAGACCAAGTTGATGTTCCGATTCAACATTCATATTGCCTACTTTGCTGTCTATGCGCATTCAGTTGCATATAGATCTACTCTGATGTGCAAATATATCTCTTCAAAGTTATCACTCGTACTGTATTCAAAGAAAAATAGTGCTATTTTAAGGGCTATAATTCTACACTCATGATATGGGTATTCATAGTCACGTGTCAAAAAAGCCAAAATTGCACAACGATCAAAACTTCACACCTTGAGAAAAAGGAAATATTTGTGTTTCTTATCTAAAGAACATAGCAGACTCGAGATTTGGAGTAGTTGAAATCTAATTAATAAGAAATTAGTCTACAAAAATTCCTAAAAGCTCAGATTTATACTGAAGAATTCCTGCAGAATAATCCCTAAAGACTATTCCTAATTCTAAGATGTCAACTTCAGAAATAGTCTCTCAATTTGTCAAAGTGTTCATACAAACATCTTATTTTCTTTATTTTTCTGTTATTTCTAACATATCTAAGTGGCTTATTGTATCTCTAGTAAGCATACACCAATAGGTACTGTACAATGGGTTAATTATTTGTGCGTTAAAGCACTACTCCATGGTCATATAATAGACCATATATTTAGTTATTGATTGAGACTTCAAACTATTTAAGTGACTATAGTACTGTCAGCTTGGAGAAATAAATTGTTCTTAAAACCAAGCTTTATGTAGCAGAAAGTTCATTGTCAACTGGGAAATACTTAAATACAGTTGGTCCCAGATCAATAATCACTTCCTTATTGGAGCAATTCTCTAGTACAATTAGCCTTAAAATACTTGTATACATTCAGCAATGGAATTCTGCACATAATCTAATATCTTATATAAAATGTTCACATCTTACTTTTCAATTGGGAGTCACATCTTTATCATGTTAAATGCCTGTGCTATGGGCCCTGCAGAACATTTCAGGAATGCACCAAACAGACAGGCAAAACAATTTAAAATTAGGATATGCATCTGTGTCTCACATTGGCCCACCAAGCCTTAGTCTGGCTAGAGACATAGCTGAATCCTTGTTATAGCAACAGATCAATGATCTAATAATAATGTATTACAGATTACATTCATACAACTTGCTAGATAAAAGCATGGGTGGCTTGTTTGTGGTTTATTGTTTTATGCAAATACTATATAACCATACTCCCCAGTGCTGGTGTATTGGCTAGATGATATAAACCTTTAATTTGCCAATTATCCTTTTGCATATGTAGAAACTTCTTTGCTTATTAAGGTATCAAACATGGTACATACATTCAAGGCACAACATTGCCTTTCAAGTTATAATACTAATCAAATGTTCAAAATGGACAGGAATTCAAGCAATGTTCTTAAGGTAAGATTTCAGGCTGAAAATTACAATATAGGCTGAAAACGTTCCACATTTTAATTTCCAATGCTAATTGCACCCATTATCAAAGTGGACAAGGAAGATGTAAATGCTATCCTTTAGTGTGTTCCAGGAACAAATGATATTCAAATGAAAGTTGTGGATTCCTAAATTAACAGCTGAACTGTAAAGTATTACATCAAGAAAATCTCTCAAATCAGGTCTAGCATTTCAGCACCTAGTGGGGGAACCCCCCACAAAAAAGATACATTGCTTTCTTGACAGCAAGCCGTTAAAATCAATACAATAGATTTTTTTTTCCCGGGTCGTTGCACTTCACGGTTCCCAGTGGTCTTCTATTGAGATATCAGGCTGATAGAATTTCAGAGTTCTTATTCACAGGCAGCCAGGTATACTTTGAAACGATGGCAGATAGTAGCCTAAATAGTTTCAGAAAAACAGTTTGTCTCAATGTCATGTCACATGGAATATTTATCCCCCCCAAAAGCCTATTATTTTATTGTCATCGTTAGGGAAAAAAATTGAACGCTACAAATAGCAAACACTCCACAACACGAAGTAGTTTTAGATGAGGCGGGGGGGGGGGGAATAGGAGAAGACCATTTATCCAATTTAATCTTAAAAATACAAATAAGCAAAACGTGCTTTGAAGCACAGCACCGGCCTGTCTCTCGTCGTAACAAGCATAAAAAAGTAGATCCAGTTCTTTGGAACCAATAAGAGGCGGTGGAGGGTATGGACTATCGTGTGCTTAGCCAATGGGCAGAGTCGTTATGATTGTTGTAGGTTGTTTCAGTCTGCAACTGAATGAGGAAGTGGTGAGGACGGAGCGGGATGGTAGCAGTCTAGAGCCGGGAAAGGGGTGGAATTCAGGGTTGTTTGGGGTCCTGATGGGTAGTTAGTGGTGCTTGTGTCGCAGAGGAAGCGCGGATCAGGTGAAAGGAAGGAGACTTTCCACCGGCGGTTTCTTGGATCAAGTGATCTGTGGTGGGGAATACGTGTGTTAAGTGAGGAACCGGGAATCAAGAAGACGGAGGGTCGTAGGGTTGAATTGAAATCCTTCTGCTCCGAATCAGTGACCAGTATGTGCTTAATATTGAAATCTGCAAGGACCGGAAATAAAACATGACAGGGATATCTTAATTTCAGTTCTCACTGTGAGGAATTGGCTAATTCAGTGTGGATCTTCTTTCTTTAAAAAGGAAGGAATATTTTGGCAACTTGGTCTCTCATCCTCTTGAATCTGAAAGGTTGAGGAAAAAATAGGGAAAGGTGGCTAAATGGATTAATGGCTTTTCTGCACTTCTATATTACAGCCACTCAGCCTCAACAGAACATTACACTTGCAGCAAATGGGTTATCCCTTTTACTAATCCTTGCCCTATCTCTATTACCTCTCTTTCAGGTCAAAGCAGTCAACTGGCTTCTCTCCAAGGTAATGAGCAATAAGTCCTAATAGATTTTATATGTCCAAAAATGCACTTTGACAGTGCCAGAATAAGGGGAATATATTGCTTTGGTATATGGGCATCAGGCTGTCTCATTCAGGGGCCTGAAATTAGTTAAGAGAAGTGTCATGGAAGCACTTGTTTGAAACATGTCTGCACAATTATTTGGCTTTCCCTTAAGATGGCAAAATGCAACTAAGGAAATCAGATACAATTCTACTTTTTAAGATAACTGGTGGTCCTCTGGATGTTTCTGAAGTACAGCCTCCAAACTTCCTCACCTTTAGGCTTGCTGACTAGAAGTTGCAGCTAGAAGCATCCAGAGGAGCATGGCTCTCTTCTTCCTGTCTGCCTTTTAGATAACTCTTGTTTGCATTGTAGTTATTGTGCAGCCTGTAGGAATGTTTCTGGATGTGCTTTTCTCATATTAGCAGCTGAGCTAGCTGAACTAGCACTTTGATAAGAATTGGTTACTGTGTTTAGAAATGCATAGAAGAATTCATTCTTTGTTGGGCTAAATTTCATTTTGAAAGATTACAGTAGAATATCACAAGATAATAAACTGACTACATATTCTAGGATGAGATATAGTTATACTTCAGTAGAAAAAAATTGTGCTACTTTTAAAGAGCTGTAGTTCATTGCCAGGATATAAATGGTTTTGTTTGGAATTGTATGCTTACATCTTCTTTAGGGAGAAATTTGTCATATTTTGCAGCATTCGGGTCTTTTTTCTGATGAGATAAACTTCCTGAAGTTCATAAAACATGCTAAACCATTATTTAGTTTTTTTAGTTTTATTTTAATAAATCATTGTTGAGCAAATCACGGCTGAATGATGACTGAACAGAGTGTATGATGTATGTGTATAATGGCTGAACAGTGTAAAACTAGGTGATGTTTCCTTCTTACAAGCTAATCATCAGTCTGATTTTGAATTACTATCTAATACACACATTCTGATAAACAATTTCAGTTCCAGTGAAAGCAATATCTGGGTCAAGGGCTGTTTTCCTCCCTCTTTCCTGAATGATGTCATGGTGAGGGTAAATGCTTGGTTTCCATTCACAGATGTCATATAGCTGTTAAGGAAGAATTGCTTCGAGTGTCTGGAGTAGCTTGAAGTGATGCCTCCTTGGGTGCCGCTGTTGAAGGCATTCCCCATTGAGAGTGTATTGAAGCACTATTTATCAGAGCTAGTGTTGTTATTATTTCGCATCACAAACATACTGTGATACGACTGCTTGCATATGTTCGCCCACAGATGTCAAACTCGATAGGTTATGTGACCTTTCCGCCCGCCCCGGGGGGGGCACCAGTTTGACACCCCTGTGCTAGCCACTTAGATGTGCTTGCTCCAAAGATGATTTGATTTTCCTATGCTTTTTCTTTTGGAGAAACACCTGTAATAAATACATCTGGAATCTGTGCCACATGTGAGAGTTCTTTCAAAGATCCATTCTGAGTTAGCTTTCCAAAAGGGAAAATATAGGAACAAGAAATATAATTTTCTCTTTGGAGGGATGGAAAGAGATAGTGCTTAGAGATGGGATAAAAGCTTGTTCCTGGAAGCCTCTCTAAATAAGTATAGGACCGGTATGTTTGCAATGGGCAAAAGAAATAACCTTGAGGATCAAGAGAAAAAGCCATAGTCAAGATATTGATCAGATAAAAAATCTGAGTCGGAACAGAAATGTAATTTTGAAAAAGAGTGTCAGACATGCTCCTTTGTTGTCATTAAGATAAAGGGATGGAACGAAGTGCTTTCAGATTTTCAAGATTATGTTATTATAGCCTTACAACAAAATTAGTATGAGCTTGTATGTCTTTGATTTCCACATTTGATCTATTTTAGAGAACTGACACTATCTCATAGTTCTCAGATTAAAGATTATAGGCTTTATAAACAGCTATAGAATGGTGGAGAAAATAAATGTATTATTTACAGGTTAAAATGTAAGAGAATTCTATGATATTCCATGCTGTTTCTATGATTAATTAATTTGCATAGAGTAAATGCCTAATTAATGCTTTCTTTGGTTCAATTTCAAAAGATGGAAGCCTTGAACAATTGTACTGGACCAGGTGGAGATTTGGAACAGCAAAACTGCAAAAGTGAACATTTCTTCTATTTTGCCTATGGTAGTAACTTGCTGCGGGAAAGAATAATGTTAAGAAACCCTTCTGTGGTTTTTCTTACCATAGCACAACTACTGGTTTGTACTGTCTTTGACTCCTTCTTTCCTAGAAACCAATATTAGTAAGAAATTAATACTTAAAGTTGTAACTATATAATGTAACTATGTTGAATATTCACTTCTGCCTCTGTTGAGTTTGTTTCTATGATTATTTTTACAGGAAGAAAAAAGGTTTAGTAATGTTTATCCTTAAGGTTTGAAAGCTAGTTAGTTGCCCAGTTATCTGTTTGTTGTTGCAAGCATTCAAAATACAGATTTCAAATCAATTTCCAACTACGGAAATATGGCTCATTGTGACTTTTTTTTCCTTTTTGATCTCATTTCTAATTAATTTTTCTATAGATGGAATTTTAATTAGGTATGTGACCTAAGAAACAATTTTTCCAGTCTGCTTGTTTTGTCTTTCTAAATGTTGTTTTATTCACTACATTATAGAAAAACAAGAAACTTAAAACTGGAGATGACTGACCTTCCTGTTTTAATTCACAGGATTATAAACTTGCTTTTAGTTCTCATCAAGGGAGACTAAGTCTTCAGTGGAAAGGAGGTACAGCTACTATTGTCTATAGCCCTGGTGAAGAAGTATGGGGGATAATATGGAAAATGAATACTAGTGATTTATGTTCTCTGGATAGGTGCGTTACATAACAGTTCTTCCATTGTCTGTCAACATATGCACAGTTTATATTGTTAAGATCTTATTCTGAATGTTTGTTGTATACCTCTCAAGATTTGTCCAAGCTAAAAAAACCCTCCTCTAATTACAGAGATTCCCAGTATAGGTAGTTCTCGACTTACAACAGTTCATATAGTGACCATTCGAAGTGAAAAAGTGGTTTATGACTATTGCAGCATCCCCATGGTCATGTGATCAAAATTCAGATGCTTGGGAACTGACTCATATTTATGACTCAGGGTATCTCAGGGACATATGATCTCCTTTTGTGACCTTCTGAGAAGCAAAGTCAGTGGGAAAGCCAGATTCACCATGTTGCTGACTTAAAAATTGCAATGATTCACTGAACTAAATAATAATAATAATAATAATAATAATAATAATAATAATAATAATAATAATAATAATAATAATAATAATAATAATAATAATAATAATAATAAAGTTGGAAGGGACCTTGGAGGTCATCGAGTCCAACCCCCTGCTCAGGCAGGAACCCTACACCATTTCAGACAAATCGTTGTCCAGTCTCTTCTTAAAAACTTCCAGTGTTGGAGCATTCACCGCTTCTGGAGGCAGGTTGTTCCATTCGTTAATTGTTCTAACTGTCAGGAAGTTTCTCCTTTGTTCTAGGTTGCTTCTCTCCTTGCTTAGTTTCCACCCATTGCTTCTTGTCCTGCCTTCAGGCACCTTGGAGAATAGCTTGACTCCCTCTTCTTTGTGGCAACCCCTGAGATATTGGAATACTGCTATCATGTCCCCCCTCGTCCTTCTCTTCGTTAAACTAGACATACCCAATTCCAGCAACCGTTCCTTATATGTTTTAGCCTCCAGTTAGAGTGTTAGTGGACTATTATGTCATAGGATTCCAAGGAGCAATTCTAAAAAAATGGTATTAAATATGTTTTTTTCTTTTGTTCTTTCATGTACATGTAGTACTAAGTTTTCATTGAGCAGCTGAGATAGCTATTTTCTGGATGCTGCCTTAACTATCCAAAATTGGGCATTGTTTGCCTATTGTTTCAAGAATGATTGAGAAGTCTTTTAAGTCACTTACAAAGAGGTGTTACATAATACTTTACTGAATAAGTAGCTGTTTCCAGGGGATATATATTTACTTGACATGGCATTTCTTTTTCCATTTCAGACAAGAAGGAGTAGAAAATGGCATTTATATTCCAATTGAAGTAACAGTTCGGACTCAGGATGGGAAAATAGTTAAATGTCGTAGTTATCAGATGAATGACTATGTCCACGATCTTCCTTCTCCACAATATAAGAGGGTACTGTATTGCCTTTTGCAATTCTATGGACTAAGGACTCATTTTCCTCCGGCAGTTCATCATCTATTGTAGAACAACATGCATAATATAAATGTAATAGAAGGAACCTAAAAAAAAGTAGTTTCACGTAAAAGATTAAACTAATTTGAATACTGTTGCAGTTAAACTAATATGTGAGTATATTTGATTTATGACATTATTATCAAGGGTAGATTAATAATTATATGTACATAGCTGGACATATTGATTAATAATAAATTTTATTGCAAGCAGTAAAGCTTTGCAATACAGTTTCCCTTGGCATCATAACTCAGTTTCTTTTTTGTATAGGACTTTTACTCAGAATAAATTATAAAAGACTACTCTATGTTTACTATAGGTTCTCTTAAGCCTCTATCTTTCTCTCTTTTTCTCTCATTGATACATATCTACGAAAGATTTGCTGTATTGAAATAAGGTGCTTCTGTTTGCATGTTACACTGGGGTTTACTGCTTGGTACAGTGGTCTAGCCAAACTTCTTATTTTTCGTTCCTGAAAACTGGCAGGAACTGATCAGACATATGGAGTCAACATGCATCTTCCATCATGTTGGGCTAATGGATTCTCAAAAACTGCTTCCCATTATTGTAGCCATGGCTGTAAAGGAGGGATTTTCTGAAGCTTTGTACTTTTTACTGATCCCCCAGAAAAATATTTTAATAATCCTGCTGACTTGAATCCATTGCAGAGCCATCTTAGATTGCAATCTTCATCTTACATTCATATTTTTGTCTAGCATATAACCAATAAGATGTTTGGACTGTAAAGGATTTTGATGTAGAATTGGTTGCAAGTCTGAATATAGGTAGTCCTCGACTTACAACAGTTCATTTAGTTAAAACAGCACTGAAAAAAGTGACTTATGACTATTTTTTATTGCAGCGTCCCCAAGATCATGTGAAAAAAAATTCAGATGCTTGGCAACTGACTCATATTTATGACCGTTGCAATGTCCTGGGATCATTGATCACCTTTTGCGACCTTCTGACAAGCAAAATCAATGGGGAAGACAAATTCACTTAACAATCCTTAACTTAACAACTGCAGTGATTCACTTAACAACTGTGGCAAGAAAGGTCATAAAATGGGACAAAATTCACTTAACAAATGTTTCACTTAGCAGCAGAAATTTTGGGCTCAATTGTGGTCGTAAGTCGAGGATTACCTGTATACGTGTGGTAGTAAGAAAATGAATGGGATGGTTGAGAACTCTATATTTTCAAGTAAGTCGACCCTGTAATTCCTTCCAACCTATACTGATCGTTCTTGTGCATGGGGAATGGAAGGTGGGTCTTTCTGGATTCTAATCTGCAAAGCAAAAGATGAAAAAAAAATCTACCAATATTTTGTCTCTTTTCTCTATTCCTGTTTTTTTTTTTTTACCCAGGGGAATGGTGACAAAGAGGCCATGTCCAAACATTTCTGGAGATAACCTGCCAATATTTATATATGTGTGTTGCAGTATAAACAGTTGAACTTGTATAACCTGCTATGAAATTTAATAATGTTACTGCATGTCTGGAATAGTCTTGCTGGCAATTAATTGTAAACTTCAATGTGGTAATTACAGATTAGCTTCATGCCAAGACAGTTATGCCCTGATCCTTGCATTTTGAATTTTTCCACATTATACTAACAGAGGCTGTTCTCTTATCCTGAAACATGCACGAGTCTATTCCTTTTCATTATATGTGCTTCCCATAATACTGGACCAACAGAAACATTCTTTTACATTCTAATATATAACTACAATTTCTGTCCTTTTCCCCATCATTCAGCTACTGAACTGTAAATATATAAAATAGAAATTATTTATGTTACTCAATGTCAGCAAGCATTCCCTTGCCAAGCTGATATTTTTGAATTTTTCCCCGAAGTATATACCTAAATTTGGATTTACACGAGTCCCTCCCAACCAAAACCCTGCCCTCTTGGAATTTGTTGGATTGTATGGAATGAATTGCAAGTGCTTTTGTATCTGTGTTGCTCAACCTACACCAATACCAAGAATGGTTTATATTGACTTCTTGATGGAACTAATGAATGCAGCCAGGTGTCTCTTGTCACTATTTAATCTTCAAGTGAGGTTTATTTGAAGCAGCTATAATATATTTCTTCATCCTTCTTCCATTTATTTGTGTAAGTAATAGAAATCTAATGATGGAACCTTTCTATTTTTGTTCTTATAGGTCATCTGTTTGGGTGCAAAACAGAATGAATTGCCAATGGATTATCAAAAGAAATTAAATTCTATAGAGACTAACAACTATGCAGGACCTGTACCAGTGTTTGAAGAAATTAAAGCTGCTCTCAGTGCGTCAGGGAAACAAAATAATGAAGATCAATTTTAGTATAACTTGCTTTTACTGCCTTGGAATCTTGTGTGTCTATTTCTCTTATATTACAATAGCCTAGATATTTTTAATGTCAAAATGACCAGGGGATACCATATATACCATAAGGTGTAAGATGATCCTTGATTATTAATTCACTAATATATAATTCATTGTTTTCCTTTAAGCTTTTCTGTTTCTGTATTCTCTGCAATAAATTGAGATTGGGAATGGTTTCCAAATTGTGCTTTAATTTGAAAGTTTCTGCACCGGTTCAATCCAGCTGTTGAAAGGATATTACAGGCAATCTTGGATATTACAGGTAGCCCTTGTTTAACAATTGCTAGTTGAACAACCATTCAAAGTTACAACAGCACTGAACAAATGCTAGTTATGACCGTTGCAGCATTCCTATAATCATGTGATTAAAATTTGAGCATTAGGCAGCCCATCCACATTTATGATTACAGGATGAGCTTCAACTCACTCCACTTGTCTATCTCCCATTGCAAAGCTCAGCTATCAAATGATGTTTCATTTACTTAGCAATGGAAATGCCATCCCAGTCTTAAGAATCCAATTAGGGTGGTTAAGCAGGGACTAAATATATGTTAACTTTGCTGTGATGGACCGTTATTATCCCAGCCTCCAGTAATCAATCTTTTTAAACAGCTGATTTAATCACAACTTATTTTTCTGTATTAAATATATATTACTGAACTGGGAATTGTTTCTTACTTTGTAAATATATATATACTATTTGTAATTCCATGAAATTCCCTTTTCATATTAGAGATGTCCCTATGTTGGACAATAATTCTAGGGTTTAGAATTCTTAGAAGGAATTGTAAGAAAAGATATTTAATACAGCTGCAGTACCTAATAAGATAAATCAAAACTATCTTTTTTTATAGATGCAAGAAGTCTTGTGCAGCATATTATGTGAGTGTCCAACATGGATCTTTGTAAACAAACAAAAAGCATTAACTAATTCTCACCCCTTCACCTTGACCAGTGAGCCTTTCAAAACAGTTTTATTTTAAAACTTAGTAGTGGAAGTGTTCAAAGAACAGCCTATAATGATATTCTGACTGACATTGGGAGACAGGAGGGAGAGCCACAGACTAGACAATGGTTTGTAAAAGATGTCTCAGCCCACAGGAGGGAAGACATGGCTTTTGTCTCAGAAGGGACCCCATCCTAGTTTTGCAACGAGCAAAAGGAAAGAAAGGAAAATACTTTTGATCTTGCAAGAGGCTGTCAATCTAAGCTCCCATGAAATCTAGGGCTAAGTATTAGTTGTAGGGCAGCTACATACTGTGATCGTATGACCTACAGGTAAGGTTTAAATTTTATAGAGAGACATAGACTATTGGTTTTTAGGCAACGTTGCTGGTCTTGAGAACAAGAACTATATACTATGAAGTGAACTTCATAAAATTGAGGGTGCGAGGACCTCTAACGTCTTCCTTCAAGTCCCGCGGAGGGCCTGGCGAGGCTGACCCACGCCAGTTGGGAGGACTCGGAGGGCTGTCCTGGCAGGGATCTCGGGGGCGGGGGTTTCGAACGAGGAAAGGCAGGGCGTGCAGTCCCCCCTCCTTTGACGCTTAAGTTCCCGCCGCGCCCGCAGGAAGCCCGATTGATGGGCCCCGCCTCTGCTACTTTTTCCTTCGCCAGCCCTGCCTATCCACATGCAGGTACGCTTGAAGTGCGTCCCGAGGTTGGTGGGAGTGTACAGAACGTGTGAAATCAGACGGGTAAACAGGAAAGGAGGCCCCTGGGGTTGCGGGGACGGTAGGAAGTTGGACCTGAGGCCTGGCAAAGAAGCGTGAGTAGGGTTCAAATGACTTTCGCTTCATTGTAGTTGGCGCTGCTTCCACCCTCGTTGGGCGAGGCGAGGCGAGGCAACGAGGGCTGCGTTAAGCATCTTGCAAACAGCCCAAATGCAAATCGGAAAAGGAGAGGTCGGTGCTCTTTTCGACACCGCTTAAGCCCTTTCCTTGAATAGTTCTGAGCGTCTTGGGAAGAAAGTTGCCGTTCGAATTGGTACCTGGCACTGGAGAAGCGCGCGAGTTAATGTATGTGCCTTAAAGGTTCAAAACGACGAAATTGTTGATGGTCTAAGAGTCTGACAAGTGAAGGCATCTGTTCTCTCTCTTGGGTAGTTGTAAAAGGGAGACTGTTAAAAGCGAAAGTGCGATTCCTACTTTGGAACGCCTGGCAGGAAAGAAATGTGAACCCTTCATGGAAACAGGGAATAGAAGATATTAGGGGGGGGGGATGTCAATTTCAGCTATCCGTGAACATGAGCAGGAGGCAATGAAGACCCAAGAGAAAATTCTTGAGAAGCTTTTTCTGAGAGCAGCTGATAATAAAAAGGGGAGAGGGAAACAGCCTTTCCAAAAATCAGTGGTGGGTATTTCCGTTTCTCAGAAAGCCACAGTTTATTTAAATCAGGTTTGCAGAATATTGGCTGAGTTTCACCTGACATCAGATGCTAACAAACTGCAGTGCTTTAAAATCTTGTGTGTTTTGATCAAAAGGTGGGATGTAGATAAAAATGATGCTTAAAAACATGTGCCAACCTTCTCTAAATGAGAGCTCTGGAAATGTATTGGGCTGAAACTATTGTTAGATGCAGGCGGTAGCAAGATGTGTGATCGGGAGCCAGCATTGTGAAGCAGTGGCGGACTTATTGCTGATAAGAAGATAGTAAGTCAAATTCTATAAGGCATCAAGCAAATAAAAGGGAACTCTCTAGAGTCTAGGTCTAGGAGTATAATTCCAGTGGCAGAACCAGATTTTAACTTTAATTCTTAACACAGGATCATAGCCACACAACCATGGAAAGGTGCATGAATTTTGTGGGTGACTTAACAGGTGATGGTGGATAATCTACCAAGTTTAAATTAAAATTACAAGCTATTGCTGCTGCAAGGTATGACAGAAGCTGAGTGCAAGCTGAAGTCTTAAGAAGGGGACAAGGCAGAGAGACTATTCCAGAAGACTGCAGAACTAACCTAATGTACTTTAAGGATAGGCAATGTAGTACTTAGCAGATACTTGAGGCTACAGTACTAACAATCCCCTGCCTTTAATTGTGTTAATTGAGGCTGATTGGAGAGGAAATTCAAGACACCCTGCATGCGGTAGGCTAGTGCAGTAGTTAGACAATTGGACAAGACAGACCCAGAGCGAAACTCTATTTAGTCATGAAGTTGTCAGACTGAGTTTGAATTAATCACTGTCTCTCTTAGGCTAACAATGATTTCAGCACCACAACAGCAATCACAGATGTTAGCTTTTACCTTTCTGTCAGCTGCCTGCTTTCTAGAACAGGGGTCCCCAACCCCTGGGCCGTGGACTGGTACCGGGCCATGGCATGCCAGCAACTGGTCCACACAAACAAGCAAAGCCCCATCTGCAGGATGCAGGCATCACACAAAACCACGCACTCTCTGGTCTTTCCATGATGCCCAAAAGGTTGAGGACCTCTGTTCTAGAATAAATGTCTTTAAGCTATAAATTATGGTTAAGCAGTTCAGCAAGACTATAAGCTGAGCAAAAGGCTAAGTAGAGTTTCTTATTGGCTAGGATGTACATGGAGTGGATTTAAAGCTCTGAGTTAAGAGGAAACCCAAATTGGTCTTAACTGATTTAATTTTCTTGAGCATCAACTGTGAGAAGCACTGTGTCTATATTGAAAAAATACAGCTCATCACAAAGACTCAGTTCACACAACTGATTCTCACTGCTAAATAATTTTATTTGAGAGCTTTCAGTGTATAAAAGATTTCCAAGAAAACTGGCTCTTGTAATTAAAAAAATACTTTATCTATTTTCTTCTTATCCATCTTTCTCTGTGTTTAAAAATATCAGCAATGGAAAAATAAATGAGAATTGGAAACAACTTTCCTTCTGTTGTTGCTGTATAGATGTAAGAATGACAACTCTCAGGATTTCCAGCTGGCATAGGTTGGTACCTGATGGATGCCAGCTCAAAGATGATGGATATCTTGTTTTTAGCAAGCTTATATTTGAATTGCCTAAAGGATGGAAGGATTTAGCCCCCAGCTTTAATAATGGAATGAAAATACTGTTTCTAAAAGTTAGGAGCCTATGACTTGTTTAGCAATCTGAATTTATAAACTTTTTCTTAATGTTACATTTTAACATCTAGCAGTTGGGCTATTAGAGCTTTTCTAACTGGAGGGCTCCCCCCCCACAACAAGTGGAAGAATGAACCTAGGAGAGCCAGTAGACTGTAGTAATCAGATTGTTAACTAGATGTGGTAATATATTCAGTGATTCAGATATTTATTCTAAAGCTCTACTTGGAGCAGGCACTGTCTTTCAACTCTTCCTATGTCACATATTTGCTATAAAAATAAAATAGGGAAAAGAAGATTGGCAATTCAGTAACTAGATCATGAATGACCATGGGAGGCCAAAAAAGCAGTGAGAGCACAAGCAACTTTCTACTGGCTTCCTCAAAAACTTTGCTTGTGGGAAGCTAGGAGGGAGCACTGAAAATCATGATCATGTGGCCGTGGCTAACTGTGTGACTGCAGGGCACCGCAGTCATCCGTAAGTGTGATCATGTGGTTGAGGGAGGGCAACCATTGGAATTTTGAATCCAGATTGTAAGTAACCCCAGGGAAGACCATCCTAATGTCAAAAGTTTGCTAAGTGACTGGTTGGAAGTCAAGAATTACCTGTGATTAAATAATTAAATACTTTGAATGTGCCCATTGTATCTCTATTCTTGGGATTTTTTTTCCCCCTAGACTTCTCCTTCATTTACTAATATGTATATAGTGGAAGATGTTGCTTGAATGAACTCCTCCCTGTATAAGTGCAACATGGTTATTGCCACAACAGTTGTGTTTGTTCCCCTTTTTTTCTTCCTTCTCTGTTCTGAAAAAAGGTTAGCTAAGTGGAAGCAGGGTGTGAGTAAATCAAGAAACTGATATATTTTTCTAAAATGACCAGAATCTTTTTCTGACAAGAAGTGAAAGTTGTTATGAAATTAAAGTAGTTCCAATTGTCCTATGCTCATAAAAACTAAAATGTGAGTATTTTAAATTTCTGTCCCTTAAAGAGTAAACCAATATAAAACAACTGGAACATTTTTTTTTGGCCTACCATGTTTTATCAGTTCAGCCCCTGTGGCTTAAAAAAACATGGTTTATGTCTCAGTGAAACATATTAAGCCCTACATGTGAAGCCAGCCATTATGGCTTATTTGGTAAATTAATTATAGTTTACATTAGCCATTGTACAGTGTTACCAGTAGTAGACTTACTTCCAAATAAGTATGAATAATTTACTTCCAGATGACTGAATCTAGATTTAATCATAATTAGGGTAGTGATACCACTGAAAATATGGGACAAATCAGAATTGATTTCAGCAGAACTGTTTTAGAGGTGGACATACCTCTAGCAAGATGACCATTGATTCTCCAACCTTAATCTATAATATCAGAAATTGAAATTTTATTTACAGCCAGGGGCCTGCAATTTAGTACAACACTAAAACAACAGCTAAAATCAAGCTCAAATAAAAGCAATAAAGCTCTAAGAACATGCCAGTCAAACTTTATATAGATGGAAAGTAAGCAAAATAAAGCAGCAAGACAAAGTAAAGAAAGTAACTATAAATTTATAAGGTGGGGGAGAGAGAGTGATGTCTAATGTCTAAATCATTAGGTGTCCTGCTGGAGTGGGCGGCTATAATCAATTTAGTGAAATGAAAATAAGTAAATGGGTAAATACCGGTAGGTGTTAAAGCCACAGCCAATACAAACTATGTATAAATTGGATGTTACCTTCTCGCCTCCCCAGTCTCTGCGCCTACTTAAATCTTCAATTTAGGTCGGGGGTGTCAAACTGCCGGACCCTGGGCCAGATGCATCATCCGGAAGCCGTGCCCACCCCATTGCTGGCAATGGCAAAACCATCCCGATACATTGTGCGACGTCACATGACATCGCGAATTTGACATGTCTGATTTAGGTGTTATGGCTTATAAGCTATACTTTACTGCCTAACTTTGTATATAAACCTAGGCCTTACTTGTTCAACAGATCATGATTTAGTAGTGAGTGAAACCAGCTCCCTATTTACCCTCCAGGAGATGTGCCAAGCCCTTTTTTCATAGGAATTTGGAGATAAGATAATGATGAAGAAGTTAAGAACATTCTTGCAAAATATATTAGCCAATATGTCTGTTAGATACTTCCAAATGTTTCTTTTTAGTTTTGGTTGTAGAACAACTATAACCACCTAGCAATGCCAGGTTTTAAAAAGCTGAATGTTATAATATACTATTATCTTTGCAGATTCATCAAGGTGAGGCATTGATTGTCTGTCTTGTTGAAATCGGCCCTTAACATATGCAGCTGCCCAGGTATGAGTTTGGAAAGCACAGCTTCTTATCATCATAATGGCAGAGCAACTAGCTGGTAAAACAAAAATTACACACAAAGCTACAGCAGGAGGAGATTCACTGTCCTTCGTAAACTTACTGAAAGTCCACAGAGAATTGCTAGTCAATCGAATCCGCAACACCCAGTGTTTGATTGACAACTTGATTAAGAATGACTATTTCTCCATAGAAGATGCAGAGATTGCTGCACAGTATTCTACACAAGCAGACAAGGTACAATATATATTTTATTTCAGTCTTTGGCTTAAGGGTAGTTTAATCAATAAACCAGGGGTGGTTTAATAATAAATCATGGCTTAGTACATTCTATAAACTGTCTTTACTCACAATTATTCATATGGGCAAGTGAGCAAGGCTGGCTGGAGGAACTAGAACTGATTTTTTTCATTTGTCTTCCACCAAATTAGGGATTAGTGCTGGCAATAGATAAAAGGAATTCTACCTAATCTTTAATTTTTTATTCCTGCCTCAGCATGTTTGATAGAAGGCATTTCCTTAACTTGATGGACTAATAGTATATATTTTTGTATGCTACTGATTATGGTTATTTAAAAGACTAGCGTAACATAAATTGCTGTTGTTTATATGGAGAGGATCCAAAGCTAAAATTCCTTTTCCTCATAATCTTGACTTGTTTTGGAAATAATTTTATAGACAAAGAGAGAGTGTAGTGTTTCTTGCACCATCATACACATGAATACTTTTTCCCTTCACTCAACATTCCAATAAACAAAAAATCTGGATGGAAAGAGAATATCTATAGTTATTCAAACAATGAGAGAGAAAAAATGAATTTCTGGATAAAAGTATCCTTTTAAATGCTTTTCCTTACCTCTTAAGAATTAATTTCTTCAGAGTCTGATGATCTTTGAGTTGTTTCTGTAGTTAATAATTATTAGTTTCCAGAAGGTTCTGGCTGATCTGCTTGATAAACCAGTTAAGCAGCATCTGAAGCTTCAAAACTTTTGCTGTTATCTGTCAAGAAACTGATACACAGGAATCCTTCATTATAGGTTTTCCTGGCTTCTGGTTACTTTTGTTTTTGTGAAAATGCATTTATATTACCAATATTGGCCAACTTGATAGTGGTCTTTTTCTTTTTCCTATTAATGTTCCTGAATTTTTTATATTTTACATAGCTCTTTGTATTGTTACTTGCTTAAGGACATAAAATATACAGAAATAAACAGACTGGCCTGGTTGCCAGCTTCTCCTTTTCTTGAATTCTGCACTTGTGTAGGCATCTGAAATGAAGAATTCTTCAAATGTAATATGGAAGCTTCCTTTGATTCTAGAAACTTTTTCAATCATATTCCGTGGAAGCTTCTATAGCTAATAGTAAATAAATAAAGACCCTCATGTCCCATTATAAATATATTTGTACGTGTGTGTGTGTGTGTTTGTGTGTGTGTGTGTGTAATAAAATAGTATTTGTTAAGTCCGGAGATAAATGGCGAAGGAGACAATTCATGTTACTGAACAGATCTTTATTCTCTCTCTGTCACAACTACCAACCAACAAGAGCAGAGGCACGCAGGCCTCTTTTTATACTCCCAGATTCCCGGGCAATCCAACCAATAGCAGGCAGTCTTTTCCCGCCTTGCGCATGCGCGCAAGGCCGGCGCCACTCAGTCTGGTCCCGGGCAGCTTTTGCAATGCCCGGGACTCTTACATCGTCCCGAGCCTGTTTCTGCAGGCTCAGGACACAACAGTATTCCTCCAGAAATTGAGTATACCACTTGTAGTTCCTGTCTCGCTTGTCTTAGTGTAACTTCTGGAATTCTCCAAAACTTATCACCAAATTATATTGGATGTTCGGAGATTGCTAAATATGCAGGGAGCAAGCACACTAATTGTAATTTAATTAATTGTAATTATATATCTAGCCTAAATATGCTTGAGATTTTTATCTCATCTTTACTTAAGGTCCGTAAAATTCTGGATCTAGCCCAGAGTAAAGGTGAGGAAGTTGCAGAGTATTGCCTATATGTCCTGCAACAAGCTGATGATGCTTACTATGACTTACATCCCTGGTTGGAGGAGATTGGCTTCCACCCATCAGAAATCATTTGTAGCAAAGCTGTGGAAAATACTGACCCAGGTAAGACATCCAGTTGCCCAAGTCTGTTCTTTTTCTTTTAATTTTTAAAATTAGCTTTTTCAATGTGAAAACCAAAGCATGATGATGATGGTGGTGGTGATAATATAGAAAACTAGCTGGATAAAACCAAAACTAGTTAAAAAGGGAAGATAGACAGGTAGTCCTCAACTTAAAACCATTTTTTTAGTGACTGTTTTCAAGTTGCAACAGCGCTGATAAAAATGACTTATGACTGTTTTCACATTTACAACTATTACAGCCTCCCCATGGTCACATGATCAAATTCTGGCACTTGGCAACTGGCATATATTTATGACAGTTGTACTTTCCTGGGATCTTGTGATCACTGTTTGTAACCTTTCCAGCTGGCTTCAGATAAGCAAAGTCAATGGGGGAAGCAAGATTGACTTAGCAAATCCATGATTCACTTAACACTGCAACTGTCATAAATATGAACCAGTTTCCAAGCATCCGAATTTTGATCAATTACTAATAGATTACTACAATGGTTGTAGGTGCAAAAAATGGTCATAAGTCACTTTTTTCAGTGCCATTGTAACTTCAAACAGTCACTAAACAAATTATTGCAAATTGAGGAGTGCCTATATTGAATTCCTTATAACTACTTGACACAAAACGAAATGATAGACATTATAACCATCACAAAAATATATATAATTGTATATAATTGTTATTTTAATATTTATTATTGCAATTGGGTTCAGAGTAAAGTAATCCTGTGGCAATTTGCAAGTTGGAAATATGCTAGCCTATGGAAAATGATGTTTAAACCTAATACATAAAATATCATCAGAAGAATTGTTAACCAAAGATAAAACTTTAGAATGTTAGAATAAAATCGAATACTACTAAAAGCAAGTCTAAATATTGCAATCAATCAATAACTGTGTATAAACACAAATACAATAATATGTACATTCACAAATGCACATATGCAATATAGTTTTCCAAAAACAGTTTATAAACTCTTTAAAAAGAGGACAATAAAATTAATGTGCATTTAGGATATGTAATGTGTGACAGTGTCATGCATGTGAAATTACGCTGTATGTGTTTGGGGGGGTAATCTCAATTTCCTGGCACACATTTACAGCAATTTACTTATGTGGAGGAAGTCTATATGTGTAAAGAGAAGTTTATGATCTAAATGCTTGGTATTTATGAGTGCATGTGTGTTTTTTACTATTATTTTTTGAATGCCAGTCTCTTAAAAGATTGCATAACTGGTTTGAAAATTCTCACATGTTCCAGAGAAACATGAAAGAGTAGAACACAATTTGGCTCCTAGTGATCTTTCTGTTAGATGAACTGCATTAAATTTTCATTTAATAATATTCAGCTTTATCTTTAGTCAGCAGATACCAGCAGAAACTTAAAGATGAATTGGGTCGAGAAACAAAGTTCGTCATGTCATATGCCCAAAAGGAGGACATGTTGCTTGAAGAAATATATTCTGCCAACATCATGCAGTTTCTCAGTCACAAAAATGAGAAACTCGGTAATGTGCATGCCTTAGAAGATCTACTTACTGACAGTTTTGGGCTGATCAATGAAAATGGAGAGACCATCTATGTCTTTGGGGATGCTGGGATTGGAAAGTCCATGTTACTGCAAAAGATGCAAAATCTCTGGTCCAAGAATGCCTTTGACATAGGGGCCAAATTCTTCTTCCGTTTCCGATGCCGAATGTTCAGCTGCTTTAAGCAAGAAGAAGCCTTTTGTTTAAAGGATCTTCTCTTCAAGTATAACTGTTTCCCAGATCAGGATCAAGAGGAGGTTTTTGACTTCATTGTAAAATTCCCTCATACTGTCTTGTTTACATTTGATGGTTTTGATGAAATTCATTCTGATTTTGATCTCAGTAGTATTCCTGAAATCTGCTCTCCCACTGAATCTATTCACCCACTTGCTCTTCTGGTGGGCCTCCTCAGTGGAAAGCTTTTGAAGGGATCTAGAAAAATTCTGACAGCCAGGACAGGGACAGAAATTGATAAAAACATAGTTCGGAAGAAAGTACATCTCCGAGGGTTTTCCAATAGTAACCTGAAAGACTATACTAAAATGTTCTTCAAAGATGAAGGATGTCAAACTTTAGTTCTGAATCAACTGGAAGCCAACCCAAATCTAATCAGTTTGTGTTCAGTGCCATTGTTTTGCTGGATTATCTTCAAATGTTTTGAACATTTCCACTCTGCGTTTGATAGCCATGAGCTCCCAGACTTTACTGTCACTCTAACGGACATTTTCTTGCTTATGACTGAAGTCCACCTGAATCGTATTCAGAAGACAAATTTGCTAAAGAAGAACAACAGAAGCCAAGAAGAAACATACAGGTCCAATAAAGAGAAATTGTTTGCACTGAGTAAAATAGCCTACGTGGGGATGCAGAAATCTCTCTTTGTCTTTGAGCAAGAGGAAGTCCTCAGCAACATCCTTGAGCAGGATTTACATTTAGGATTTCTCAGGGCAGTTCCCAATTATGAAGATAATGTAGACCAATCTTCCTATGAATTCCTGCACTTGACGTTGCAGTCATTTTTTGCAGCTTTTTATCTGGTAACAGATGAGAAAGTGGGGACCAGGGATTTGCTGCAGTTCTTTGCTGAATGCTCCATGCAAGACACTACTCTATCTTCATGCTTGCCTCTTTCCTGGTCAAAACATTACCACCCAACAGGAGGAGATCCTTTCCGAAATAAAGAGCATTTTCATTTTACTAATCTCTTCCTGTGTGGCTTGCTTTCCAAGGCAAGGCAGAAACTCTTGAGGCATCTGATTCCTCTGAGGATAGTCAAGAAGAAACGGAGGATTCTTCTGGCCTATTTTTTTGAAAGCATGAAATCTCATCTGAAGGGTCTCTCTCGGGCAAGGCTGAAAGAATACAAACAGGTGCAAGTAATGCCAAACTTTGTTTGGATGCTGAGATGCATCTATGAAACTCAGAGTGAGAAAGTTGGTAAAGGGGTTGCCAAATGCATGCGTGCCAATTACATCAAGCTGACTTACTGCAATGCCTACTCTGCTGACTGTAGTGCCATTTCCTTTGTTATGCATCATTTCCAGAAACGCTTGGCCCTTGATCTGGACAATAACAACATCAATGATTATGGGATTAAGCAACTGCAACCTTGCTTTAGCCATCTGGCAGTACTCAGGTACAGTAACACAATGATTTAATAGGAACTGATATAAGGAAAGAAGCTACTTCTCCTTGAAAGAATCGGGGAGCAGACTTGTTTCCAAATATCATGGGTAAATAACATGCGTAAGTTTGACATAGAAGAGAAGCATTTGAAGCTCATCTCTTTATTCTTCCTTTTTTTCCCCCTTCTCATCTACATAGTGCTGGTAAAATTGTCCTTTGAGTGACTCTAGAATGTCTTAAAATATTACTTGTAGGAATTATAATCAGCTTCTTTTAGAGATTGGTTTACTTATTTATGAATAAACTGCTTCAGTTAGTGGAAGAGAAAAGAAAGAGGCAATTTTGTTCTGTATTCAAAGATTGATTAATGGTATTGCAAAGAAAGCTAAATCTGCTAGTGCCTCTTCGAATTAAAAGGATCATACTTCTCCCCCCCCCACCCCTATAAATGGTGCTGTGAACCAGCTACTTTATCACATGTCTTTCTTTTACTTCAGGGTGAGTGTGAACCAAATCACAGATCAAGGTGTGAGAGTGCTTTACGAGGAGCTCTCCAAATTCAAAATTGTATCTTATTTGGGGTATGTACAAAGGATGAGCTCAGATACTCATTGTGTGAAGGGCGTGTTCCAATTATCAAGGGGAATAATGTGAAAGAGTAATGACTCACATATTTCTAGATTATTACCAGATCATTTGATCCATTACTTGATTGCCATCAACACACATTTATTTATATCCTACCTTTAGTATTTTTATATTTAGTGCAGCATAATGAACTAACAGAATAACAATTGGAAAGTTATTGAATGTAGATGAATTGAAGAGCACTTGCAAAACTAGGCTGAGGTGCGGTGAAGGTGCAATGCCCGATTCACTACATGCTAATAGATCCATTCAACTTTTATTTGCAAAGGTTGAATTTCAGTGTCCACAAACCTCATCCAGCATATCAAGCTGATAAAAAAAGAATATATGTAGCTCAGGATTTAACTGTGGAATCTTTGGTCCTCTCTGAGCTTAGTTATTTGCTTGCAGGTATTTCATTACTCAACTAGGTAACATTATCACTGCTAGTATGTGTGAGATTTGCTCTCTGTTTATATACTATAGCTTGCCCTGCCAGTGGAGTTGGTGGTGGTAATGAAGTTGGGGTGGTGCTGATTGTGTGTGTGTGTGTAGTGATTTTCCTTGGTCAAAGAAGTAAATACAATTGATTTAAGAGGCAATGTTTTAAAACAGAGGTGTCAAACTGGCAGCCCACAGGCCGGATGCGTCATGCGCAGACTACGCCCCCCCCGGCTCCGCAAAGGCAAAAAACATTGTGAAACATCACAATATGTCACGTGACACGATTATTTGACACCTGTGTTTTAAAAGAAAGCTATGTACCTCCTATCTGGTAATTTCTGTTTTAATGGGGCAAACCTATACTCGTCCACTTAGAAAAAATTGCCTTAAATTTAATGGGTTTTATTCTAACGTCAATCCAAAAAGCAGTACAGGTAGTCCTCGAATTACGAGTATAATGGAGCCTGCCCATTCCACTCGTAACTTGAAAACTCATAGAGTAAATCTTGTTTGAGGTACAAGATCATTCCCTTGCTCATTAAAATGCATGCGGCTCGTTAAGCGAACATGAGTTATCTCGGGGGGGGGGGAAGGCCATGGAGGGCCTTGTGCTGGAACAGGCCCCCAAGGCCTCCCTGACCACTAAGATACTGCATGCTTCCCCCTCCCTTCCTGCTGCGCCAAACTCACCTGGAAAAGATCCATCCCCTCTCTGCCACAGTTCTTGCTACCATCCAGATTTGAGGTTGTGGAACCTCACAGCCCTCCCACGACCCAATACGGGCTCCGGAGGCCTTTTCCAGGCTGCTGCCACCTGGATTTGAGGCCAGGGAACACTTCCACGCACCCGCGTGGCCCGATCCGGGCTCCAGAGGCCTTTTCCAGGCCCAATTGGGCCATGTGGGGGCTGCAGAAGCGTTCCACGGCTTCAAATTTGGGCAGCAGCAGCTGAAAAAGGCCTATGGAGCCCGGATTGGGCTGCAGGGGGGATTGTGAAAGCATTCCACAGCCTCAAATCTGGGCAGCAGCAGCCTGGAAAACATCTCCGGAGTCCAGATCGGGCTGCAGGGGGGGCGCGGAAGCCTCCCCCGGCCTTAGATCCAGGCAGCAGAGGCCTGGAAAAGGCCTCCAGAGCCCCGATCCAGCCTCTGGAGGCACGTCGAAGCGTCCCCCAGCTTCAGTTCCATTCTCTGTTGCAGAGAACAGAGGCCTAAAGTACCATGAGATCAGTAGCGTGAGATCTCACCCCACTGATCTCGCGTGCTCTTGTGTTACTTTAGGCCTCCATTCTCTGAGAAACACACCGAAGGCCTGGAGTAGCCAAGAAAGCGAAGGATCTCAATCTTCACGGTGAATATTGAAGGCTTGGTGCCTAGGGGCGGGGGTGGGGAGGGAGAGAATAATCAGGGTGAATGTTGCAGAGCCTCTGTGGTCACTTGTAAGAGCGAACAACTACCATGGTGCTGCAATATTTGTAACTTCTGGACTTGCTCGTAAGCACTAAGGGGTGCTTATCACGTAACTTTGAACGAGCGTTAAGTGAATGCCCGTAACTCAGGGATTACCTGTATATGCATCAAAGCTACTGAATGAGCAACAATCCATAACAAATCTTAAGAGGTCTGAAACTGTATGGAACTGCTTCTTTAATTTTTATTGATTCTTGTGCAAAGGAAAGAAGCTTATGTCTCAATTAGCTTATAATTGGGAAATTATATTTGTACTTTTTTTTGAAAATATATATTTGCTATAATTAACTTAATTAGTTAATACCCTGCTATTATTCCTTCCAAAGCTTATATAACAACCAGATTACTGATATTGGAGCAAAATATGTGGCAAGACTCATTGAGGAATGTCCAAGCCTCATCTATGTTAAGTAAGTATCTCTCTCATCCCTATATCATCCTAGTTCTCAAGTGATTAAGCCTTCAAAAATGGACTCTGCCTCTTCAATTACTCCAAGATTTTTCCATATAATCCTGCTGGATGCAAAGGTTAAGTATCTCTGAGCTTTGGAGCAATACAATTGTGCAGTATCCAGAGCCCCTTACATGGTGAATCTCGTTTGCATTACTCTACCAGCAGCTGCCATGATGGAGTGGGAGAAGAATAGGCTTGTTTGAACCCAGGGGTGACTGCTTATATAGCAAAAAAGTACTTCTGAGTTACCCAGTGAGATTCTCATGAACACCAATATGCCCATAAATATTAGCTTTGGCACCCTCCTGCTGCCTGACCCCATCTGACTTTAAAAATAAATATTAGATTCTTTTAATTGATGATGATAATGATGATGATGATAATGATGATGATGTTATCCATTCAATCATGTCTGACTCTTGGCAATTCTATAGACCAGGTTTCTCTACATCCTCCAATCTTGCATTGCTCCTGTGAGTTGTTCTAAGCTCTAGCTAGTGTTACCTTTGATGGTGTCCAACCACGGTGTTGTTTGGCAGCCTGATTTCCTTTTGCCACTGCTTCTTCCAAAATAATTGCTTTCTCCAGTGAATTCTCCCACATGACAAAGCCAAAATAAGTGAGACTCAGTTTTGTGACTTTGTCTCTTTTAATTAGCAGTGATAAATAAATGAGAAATGGCACGCTGCAGTCTTCTTGATAGAAGATAACTGATTAGCAAAACGTTCACCTATTTCCTCTGTTTGGTTTGGTGGCTTGTAGTGTAATGTGTGTACATGTATATTTATGTATGTATGTATGCGTATAGGTGGGTAGGTAGGTAAATACCAGTCTTTTGTTAGAGTAGTATCTGCTACCCTAGCAAAAATTTGTTGGGATGGATAATAAGTATTTGGGTGGAGTGAGGAGATCAGTGAAGGAGAATAATTTTCGTTAAATGGGTTTTTTTCTGGTTAGACCCATCGTGATAAAATATATAGGAAAGGGTGAATCTTCCTATAGGAGCCACTTTATGAGAACATCCATGCTCTATCTTGAAAATCTTAAGATGTTGAGGGTCTTAGCTTGATTATTATTAGCCTTGCAGTTATCATTGGGTTCCTCTGAGATTAAATTATCACATGGGGGTCCAGTTAATCAAAATTTATCTGACATCTGGTAGAAGTTGAAGGGTAATTCTTATTCCAAGATCACTGGCCAGAGAGGATTTGGATGATAATGGAAATGTTCAACAACCAGTGTTGAACCACCAGCATGTAAGTATAACTCCTTGGCAGCTTTGGTGGGAAAAATCTTTTTTTAGATTAATTGCTGATATTTCTGGCATGAGAAGCCGCCCCCCCAAAAAAATGATGGACACTGAGACAGTTCAGGAGTGGCTTTGGATTTGTTAAATCCAAGTTGCACAATTATCTTATGTCATCCTACATTTGAGGATTATTTGTATAAATTTGTATATATTTTATATCACTTCATTTTATTGTACTTTATTGTGGCTGATGCTCATGGTTGATATGGTCAATTGGCTAATCAGTGAAGTATATCGTATTATGTAAATGTGAGTAACCAGAAGTATCCCTGCAGACTTCTCTAGCAGTCCCACTTTATGAATGTCATGAATTGACAATGCTTTGTAAGTGGCAGAATCAGCCACTCAATATACAAGTAATCCTTGACTTATGATTGATTGTTCAGCAATTATTCAGTTTTAGTGGCACTGAATGAAGGGACTTATAACCTTTGCCCAAAGTCAATAGCCTCTACAGTGCTTCTGCAGTCATGTGAACAAAATTCAGCCACTTAGCACCTTTATGAACAACTGCAGGAATACTGTAGTGACTCCATATGTATCCCCCTCCGAAATGATGTCCACTTCTGGGATGGCACCACATGGCCTCCAATGTACAGAGGAGCTGAGGAGTGTATCATTCATTGTGGGTGCTTCCAAAATGGGGGTCATTTCCTATGGGACCATTATGTGGGAAGGCCATGCGACCGAGAGGCTTCTTCCCAAAGGTATACCAAAAAGGTATATGGTTGAATGATATCAAGAGCAGACTAGTGTGCTGGCTTTTTCTCTGAAGAATGTTGGAAGTTTCCACTTTTTAAAAATTAGCTACTACTTAGAATGTGGCAAATGTGAAACTGTGATTAATCATAACTGCAGAGTAGCAAAAACAGCCTAAGCTGGTTTAGGCATGTCTTCTCTTGCCGGATAGTTCTCTGCCAGTCACAGCAAAGATATAATTGATAGATATTTGCAAGCTGATGTCAGTTAGAAAGGAGAGGGGCAGCAAAGCCAGATGGCTTAAAACACACATCTGAAAGCAGGACACCACCATGGAGCAGCAAGCCAGAATATAGGTAATAAAGAAGGATAAGGATTGGAACTGAGATTATCAAATTATATGCTGGTGTAGGAATGGGGCATAAGGCTAACTGAGTCATGGTGAAAGGGCCAGTTTTTCCCAACACAATGTTAGGTATCTAAAACAGCATTGAAACAAAAATGTTTGTTGATTTGATTTCCAAATAATTTCTTTGCAGGATAGGAGCAAACAAAATAACAACCGAAGGAGGGAAAAGTCTTGCTTATGCCATCAAGAAAAGTAAAACTATGTATGAAATTGGGTAAGTATGGCATTTTTTTAAAATGTTCTGGTCAGAAACCAGTACAGGTGGTCCTCATTTAATGATGCTAATTGGAACCAGAAGCTTTGCCATTAAGAGATATGGACATGGCTATGTGACCTTGCTGCTTAGTGACAATACTTCTGGGAGTCCAGCTGTGGTCTTTAAGCAAGGACCACATGGGTCACTAAATGAGAACCGTGACTTCCTACTTCCAGCTGACTTCCCCATTGGGTTTACTTGTGAGAAACTGGCAGGGAAGGTCGCAAATAGTGATCATGACTGTGGGACACTGCAATGACCATAGGTATGAGGTGTGATCATAACTGCCACTCATTCAGCACTATCAGAAGTTTGAACCATCGCTGAACAAGTAGTCATTAAACAAAGACCATCTGTGACTTCATTTTAATATTTATGTTGCTAAGAAGTCTAGCTTTATTAATCCTCCTTTCTAATCTCATTGTTAGCTTCCTTTGTCTCCTATCTTTTAGAACTTTAAAAAAGATATCTAAATTTATTTATTAACTATTCACTGGACATAAAAGATAATGTATAAACAAAATAAAAAAGAAACAAAATAAACTACACAGAAGCAAAAATAATTGGGAACTATATTGGCAGCAACCCCTAAATAAATTTGATGAAAATTCCCAAAAGCTAATATCCAAATAGAATCTCAGGATTGCGAGCTAAATTGGGACTCCAAAAAAACAGAAGAAGGGTGGCAAACTATTTTTGTATTTTTGCCAAGAAAACTATGGGAGTGTGTTCACAGAATCACTAAGAACTGAACTTGATTGAAAAACTTTTTACATTTAAATATACTTTTGCAATCTTAAGGAGAAATACAAATTATAAATATCCATAGTCAATTAATCTGTTCAAAGAGAAATTTGCATAGATAGGGGGATCTGTCAGGAATTGGTTTGTTGATGTATCTAAAAAATATCCAAATCAAATGTGAATAAAGCAATCTGTACTTAAAAGGTTGTTCAGCATGTTTTGCTACAATATTAACTTTTCAGCCAAAGCTATTTTTCATGCATATAAATATAGTTATAGTAAATATGGCAGTTAGCAATGAAAATTTAATTAATTTCTAATTTAATTGGAATTGTATAAGCGTTAGTTGACAGAGCTCACTAGCTGACTTTGGGCAATTTTTTCTCTCACAGGTTAATGTTGTTAGGGATAAAACAAGGGGAGACGAGACTTTAGTCTTGAACTTACAGAGAAAAACCAGGAAAGAAATGCAACATATAAAAATATGCACTTGCAAATTTGTTTTCCAAACAAATGAGTTTAGATTTTTTAAATTCATTCTGTTCCATATAATGTAAACCAGATGTACAGTGTCTATGAAGATTCTCAATCATCCAGGTCATGATTGTCCCAAAGGTGCTTTTTCAAGAAGCAACTGATTTCGTATCCCTCCTCCTCTGTTGAACAATCTCCAGTCTACAACACAGTCCTTTCAGCAATTCCAAGAAGGCTCCACATCCATTTGCATCACTCAGGTGACCTTGAGGACACAGATAAACCTCCAGGTGGCCTCAACAACTGTCTAAAAGAATGCAAATGACCAGCTGTTTGCAAGGAATATTAATCCTTCCATTCCCCACCATCCAGTCAGAGCTAAAGAAGCTTCTTGGACGAGAAGCAAAACATCTTCAAAGAAAAACAAGAAAGTCCAGTTGTGTCTTGAAAAAGCACTTTTGGGACATCAGGTACAGGTATTCCTTGATTTATGGCCACAATTTGGGACCAGAATTTCCATTGTAAGTCATTGCCATCATAAGGTGAGTCATCTTGTGACTGAACCTGATTTTACTGCCATTTTTATGACAGTCATAAGAATCGTGGTTATAATTCAAGCCATGCAGTTATTAGTGCAAATCCAGCTAAGCAATAGTTTTTGTCAGAAACCAGCAAAAAAACATTACAAATCTTGATCACAGGATACTGCAACAGATTGTAAATCAGTTGCTAAGTACCCAAAATATGATCACATGATTGCAGGGATGAGGCGACAGACATAAGTTCAAATTTAAGTTGTAATTGACTTTTTCAGAGATTGTCATTAATTCAAGCCATCATTAAGAAAATGGTTGTAAGTGAACGACTACCTGTATCTAACCTATAGATTATTGAAAAAGCCACAGTTGACCTAGTTCATATATTATGCTATACTGAACCAACTTCTCCCATCCTAAGCACTTTCCCTGTATGAGGACTCCAATATCCTGAATTCTCAACTAGTATGATTCTGATGGCTTATTATTATAATGTGTAAAGTTAGAAACTAGAAGGTGTGAGTTCTAGTCCTGCTTTAGGCATGAAAGCCAGCTGAGTGACTTTATTTATTTATTTATTTATTTAATTTAATTTATATGCCGCCCTTCTCCCGACGGGACTCAGGGCGGCGCACAACATATTTAAAACAAAACATAAATACATTCCCCCCCCGATAAAACCGAATTAAATCAAATTTTAAAGTTGTGTCTCTGTCAAATTGCTAAAAAATAAACCCCGTATAAAATCCTCCCTAGGTCAGGTCCGCTTGCTGNCGAGTCATGGACCAGATCCTCCGGATAAGGCCCAAGCTCCGTCAGGAACCTCTCTGGGTCCATCAGTCGCCTGGGACGGAACCATCTAGGCGGTTCCGTCTCCCTGCGGCGGGGGGGCGCGGTCCGGAAGTCCATCCTTAGGAGAGAATGGTCTGACCATGACAAGGGCTCGATAACTATTTCCCCTAATGTCAGATCACTTTGGGCCAGTCACTCTGCCTCAGCTTAATTTATCTTAAGGGCCTGCTATTATGGAGAAAAAATACGGATAGGAGCATTAAGTATGCATGCTGGATTGAGTTATTTATAAAAATAATAAAGGCAGGATTTTAAAAAATATTTTAAAAAGTCCATGATGGTAATGTTCTTTAATGTACCTGGTCTTTTTGTCTTTGGCAGAATGTGGGGTAACAAGATTGGGGATGAAGGAGCAAAGGCTTTTGCAGAGGCACTGAAAAATCACCCCACCTTAACCAATATCAGGTAAAATATTTATGAGTAGACTGATATTCATGCCATATGTCCCCCCCCAAAGGCCCGCTAGATTTCAGAATTGTTCAATGTGCATTGCAAAACTAGCATGAACCTTTTGTGCAGAATCTCAGTATCCTGGTGTCACTTCGATGTTACCTCTCTTTTCTTCTTCATCCTATCCTCCAGAGCATTACAAAGCCATTTTTTTAAATTCCCCACAATGCCTTTGCCAGAAACCTACTTACACGGTTATAGTATTGGAAAAAATTCAAAGCCTGGCTAGGTAGAACAACCAAATACTCTTTGGAGAAATACCTTTGCGGACAGTTGGGTCACCTTTCTGCAGGCCTCAGATTCTACTCTGATCATGGTCACTCAAAATCGCTATTAGAATTTCCTCCCATTTGGAGATAATTAAATGTGAAAAATTAAATGGGCATATCAAACCTAAAAAATAAAATTTCCTTCTACCAAAAATCTCTTTTCTGCCATCAAGTAATTTGTCTAGATTTTAATTATAATAATAATGATGATGATAAAGTTGGAAGGGATTTTGCAGGTCATCTAGTCCAACCCCCTGCTCAGGCAGGTAACCCTATACCATTTTGGACAAATGGCTGTCCAGTTTCTTCTTAAAAACTTCCAGTGTTGGCGCATTCACTGCTTCTGGAGGCAGGTTGTTCCACTGGTTAATTGTTCTAACTGTCAGGAAGTTTCTCCTTAGTACTAGGTTGCTTTTCTCTTTGATCAGTTTCCATCCGTTGCTTCTCGTACTGCCTTCAGGCGCCTTGGAGAATAGCTTGACTCCCTCTTCTTTGTGGCAGCCCCTGAGATATTGGAACACTGCTATCATGTCCCCCCTCGTCCTTCTCTTCGTTAAACTAGACATACCCAATTCCAGCAACTGTTCCTTATATGTTTTAGCCTCCAGTCCCCTAATCATCTTTGTTGCTCTTCTCTGTACTCTTTCTAGAGTCTCAACATCTTTTTTACATCGTGGTGACCAAAACTGGATGCAGTATTCCAAGTGTGGCCTTACCACACTTAGATATGATAGCCCAAAACATGGATTATACAGTCACACTCTGGGATCCCCCCCCCCACATATAAGTACAGCTCTGAGACCCCAGTAGATCAACCAGTTCAAAAGAAGACATGAGCTTTTTTGAAAAGGAATTGTGGCACCTGTGGAAGTCTAGAGCAGAGGTCTCCAACCTTTTTGATTTGACAGCCCGGAAAGGGAGGCAGGCACCGGTACGTGCACGTGTGCAAATGGACCGTGTGCGTGCTCAAAAATGAGTCCGATACGCACGTGCACAAATGGGCTGCGCATGAGCGCATGTGCATACACAAGCAGCTGTCATGAGCGCATGCGCACATCCAAATGGCCACACATGAGCACATGCCCACATGCAAATTGGGCTGTGTGGGTGCTAGTGCTGCAAATGGGATAGCACTAGCACTGGCGGGATACTATGGGCGGCACTAGTACCTAGCGCTGATGGGATGCTCAGGGCAGCACTAGTGCCGGTGAGATGCTCGGGGGCAGGGTTGCGCTAGCGCCAGTGGGATGCTCGGCAGCACTAGCGCCGGTGGGATGCTAGGGGTCAGGGTGGCGCTAGTGCCGGTGGGACACTTGGGGCGGGGTGCTAGCGCCAATGGGATGCTTGGGGTGGTGCTAGCATGAGTGTGAGCCATGGTAGTGGGCCATGTCCCACAGGTTGGGGACCCCTGGTCTAGAGGAGCTGATAAACATTTGGCAATGGATTTTAAAGAATAAAGTAGAGCATCAACCATTTAAAACTTCAAATGTAAATGATGTTTTACAGTGTGACAGTTAGAAAATGATATTGTCAGTCTACATTTGACTATACAAAAATCCATTAAAACAAAATAGGCATTGGCATCCCCTCAAAATTTAACAAGGAGACTTTTAAAATACAACATTCCATCTGCTGATTTAAATAAAAAATGTAGGCATTTCTAATTCCTCCACAAGATGGCAGGCTTTACTGGATTTCTTTTGGATAAATGACAGTAGCTATGCATATTTTTTAAAAAGGCAGACACGTAAGCTCAGTGGCATAAATGCACTCAACAGTAGGAGGGCTTTCATATGGAAAAATATAAAAATAAAATTGGCCTCATTGAAGGAACATCCCCCCAGAGGAACCTATGCATTTTTCTAAGGTGGCAGAGGTGGGTAGGGCAACAGATCACGACATCCAATTTCAATACTTATTGACTAAGCTAACCATTAGATGACAGCACAGATACCGTATTTGCTGTCATCATCGTTATCCAGATTTTTGCAGCCCAGATCTGATTATCCTAGGACACACCCAATGTGTCACTCCAATAAAACATCCTAAACCATCATTGCTTCCATTCCTTACTAAGTATAAATCCCAGTAATTGGGACAGGCCTGCTTTTTCCTGTCACCTTCTGCAATCCTGTCCCCTATAGATGTTTTGAAACTACAACTTCCAGAGTTCCCAGCTAGTGTGTAAAACAGCTTGAGAGGAAAATTACTGAATCTAGGCCCTGAGAATGTACTCAGTCATGTCACTCACCAGATACCTTTAGAAAGAGTCATGATCTTATTAATGATGATGTACATTCTGTAAGCAAAGACATTTTCCCCCTAGGTTCCAATAAAAATACTTTTGCCCAAGGGCTCTGTTGAAGAAAGAACTCTTATTGATTTCTACTTCACGCATGTTCAACCGGCAACCCCCAGCCCACTTGCTCCCCTGAACAATTAGTTATGTGGCCCCACAAGATAATAAAATATTAAAAAATAAAGGAAGTTTGTTATTCATATACATTAACTATAATATATATATATGTGTGTGTGTGTGTGTATGTATATATATATATATATGTATATATGTGTGTGTATGTATATATATATACACACACACATACACACACACACACACACACACATATATATATATATATATATATACAGGGCTTTTTTTCTCAGAGTTTTCCACCGCCTTGAGTTTGGACCGGTGCGGGAGTAGTTTGGGATCCTGGCGGGGAAATCTCTTGTCCTTACGTTCATTTTAAACCCTCCCCGATAAAGGCCACACCCTCCCCGATAAAGGCCACGCCGGCCGGGCCTTTTTCCACGGCCTTGCGCCAAGGCGGCGCAAGGCCGACAAAAAAAGCCCTGTATATATATGAATGCTTTTTTCTTTTAGAGCACCCTGTCGGCCCAAATATGGGAAAGACTTCTCTTTCCCATATTTGGGCCGACAGGGTGCTCTAAAAGAAAAAAGCATTCATCCTCTTCCCCTGTCTCTTGTAGCTAACAAAAGTGAGAAAGAGCCTGTGGCCTAGTGGCTAACATCTCTGCTTAACATGCAGACAGCCCAGGTTCGAATCTCAGAAGGGTATGTCTGGCTGATGAAAACCAAATAAGGTTTGAAATAGCTATCCCAGTTCTCCCTTAATTCTTTGTTAGCAATCCGTGTCCTTCCATTTGTTTTTGTTCATATCACAATCAAGGATTTGCTATTGTTACAAAGAAATAAATCGTCATTAGTGCTGAAGAAGAGAGATTAAATTATCTTATTTTTAATCACTGGCTACCAGAGTATGGGGATCCCAAGGTTTGTTTCTACCAAGTGAGATGTTTTCTTTTGAACAACAGACCTTCATCCCATATCAGTACTTACTTTCACCCTTCATTCTTTAAAAAAAATGGATAAATTTTAGACAAAAGTTCTTTGACCTGACCTGAAGAAATATCCATTCTTTCCCCCTTATTTCCTTCAGAATGGGTCTTGTGGTAAAAAAATCTGTGCTCCCTGTACGGCCCAGCAGGGGGGGAGAATGCTCTAGATGCCCATCCCAAGATAAATTTTTGGATTAGAAACCAGAGAAGGAGAATTCAGGGTCCTTCTGGAAGAGCTTGTGCCCTGAGCCAAATACGACCCTCCCCTTATTTCCTTCAGAAAAAAATGGTAAAGATGCTGCTCTCTTGGACAACATATTGGCAGAAAGTTCTTTTATCTAGTAATGGTAGCATTCTTTTTATTAATAAGAGCCAACTGATCTGTTTTTAGTGAATTGTTCTATTTCAATGTTATGAATATTTGAAAAATCTTTATGTAGTGCAAACCACCTAGAGCCCTATGAGTAAACAGCATACAAATATTTGTGGAAGGAAATAAAATGTTCCAGAAGGAAGGCTACCCTCAATTACTGTTTCCAGAATCTTGATGATTTCTAAGCTTGGGAATTCCCCCCCCCCCAAAAAAAAAGTTTTTGTACTTGGTTTTCGGAAGAAAACAGATGTGATTTGGGGTAAATGTTAAGTCAGTAAACATTGGTAGATTGTTGTGTATTTGTCACATAGTTAACCTAATTTGTTTATTTTTAATCTCTTTTTTCACAAACAGCTATTCAAAGACTTTGAAAGGTTTTTATTTTTCCAAAGCTCAGGGTGGTTTGTAGTGGCAATAAAAATTGGTTAATGAATTTCATTAGGGCACTTATTTTCCCAAGACCAGTAGCTACTATCAGTGACAATGGAACTTCTAGTCTGAGAACTTCATGTCTTTTGGTTTCCCAGTCAGCTGAGGATGACACTAGTAAGCAGTTTTGATTTCTCATCTTCCTGATTGTTATTTTTTTTTTTTAGAGAAAGGTTTGATTAGATATATGTATTTGTCTCAAGGGCAACAATCTTGTGATAGCTACTGTATATCGGACCTTTAGTTCTGCTTCTAACTGCAACCTCGCTCTAGAGATTCTAAATTAGTGTTTTTTCTTGAAGATGTGTGAACTTCAACTCCCAGAATTTCCCAGCCAGCTTACTTAAAGAAACACTGCTCCAAACGTGGGAGAAAAACAGAACAATACATTTTCCCTGAATTTGTCATTGCAGCCCCTGAAAACAGCAGGACCACTGACCTCTCTTTGAACTCGCATCAAGTGCATAGAAAATGAATATATGAATATAGTTCCTGTACAGCTCAGGAGACACAGGTTGAGGGACTTGGGAGCTGTATTCCTTTTCATATTTTCCAAACAACTTGCCCTTTCACTTTGCTCCTGTGCTTGTCTTGCAATCATGACTTTCTTCATTGATGCAACTTGAGATGCTATGCTCAAAATATTGTGAAAATGTGAGAGACTTTCTTTAGTTAGCTGCCTATAGCTAATTATGTGTTCTGCCAACAACTAATTGATGGTTACCAGGATCCATTTGCAGTACAAATAGAACTTAGGAAATCTTTCCAGTTTCTTCTTCTGTATTAAGATACCTGTAACTCCCTAAGATAGCATCTGCAGAATTTCATAGTTAATTAATTTGTTAAAAGTATGATTTAAAACCTAATCAAAATAGTTATTGCTGTTTGGTGCTACTTTCTGGATTTTTAAAACGCTTTCTCCATCATTTGTTTCACAGTCTTGCCTTTAACGGCATCACTACAGAAGGAGGTAAAAGCCTTGCAGAAGCGATGAAACACAACAATGGTGTAAATATATTTTGGTAAGGAACTTGGAGGAGATGGGGATAAACTTTACAGAGTCTTGAACATCCTCTTTTTGCAAAAATGGAGGAAGAAATCTGCTTCACAGCATCCTAGCCTTCTGGGGAGGGAGGTTAAAAATGTCTGGCATGTTTGATTTCAGAAACAACCAGAAAAGCTAAGGTCCCACTAAGCTGGATTGATGTATAAGCTAACTCTGAACAACCTATGAAACTTTGGCAGTTTGAGAAGGGGATAGATTGAAAGATAGTGAGTGATCATGTGTAAACATGCCCCAATTATGTGTCAACCTGGACATCTTGATAATTTCAAGCTTGGAAAGAACAGGCCGTGCCCCAGATGGCCACCATCTCTGTCCATCTACACAAAGTAAAACAGGTGACCTGAAACTGTACCCAGACTGTTTGATGCAATTCCAGTTGCCAGTATGATTTGGAACCCTACTTTATTTGGCATCCAAATCACATAGAAGACTGCAATTATGCTTATTTTTGGATTAAGCAATATCTAAGCTTTGCTGACATCTGCTTACTGGTTGTTATCAGAAAAAAAGACACAATTCATTCTAACAGTAGTACTGACTGTATGCCTAAAGCATGTTTTAAAGCTGCTATCAAAAGGAGGCATTCATGTGGAAAGAGTAAACTGCCCAATTTATTTTCACTGTCAACAAAGAAGGAGAGGAAAGGGGAACTGTGGGCCAAAGCATCATAGGGAGATGAGATCACAACTGTACCCAAGTTCTGGGGACACTAGCTAGGAATGTTGGCCAATCTAAAAGACAAATCACAAGAGGAAAAAGGAAGAGGAAAACAAAGATACGCAGGCCATATTTTTATAGTTTTATAGACCCTATTACTTTTGTTATTATAATCTCTTGAGAATGGAAGCAGGGCTACTTGGATGATAACATCTATGAACAATTGGAATAGAAGATTTGAAACAGAAAGTCTCTCCTTTTATATAGGCTTTTATGTAGTTCAGTACAGTCCATTTGTTTTGTATTTATTAGACTTTTAAATCGTGCCTTTATTATTTTTACACATAACTCAAGGCAGTGAACATATATATAATATCCCTTCCTCCTCCTATTTTTCCCACAACAACAACAACCCGGGTGGGTTGGGCTTAGAAAGAGTCACTGGCCCCAAATCATCCTTTCAGATGGCTTTCATGCCTGAGGCAGGTCTAGAATTCACGGTCTTCTGGTTTGTCGGTCAGCACTTTAATCCCTATCCCAAAGTGGCCATGAAATAGGAGTTTCTGCTTTCAGACCTTCTGTTGTAACACACAGTGCAGGCACTCTAAGTTAGAATTGCATGTTAATGTGGTTGTTTGGAAGGGATAAGCTAAGGTTTCCCAGTTTGAAGAGAGTAGAAGAGTGGGTACTGAAAGAGTTGAGCCTATATTCCCAGATCTTGTAATAAAAAACCTTTCTTCACAAACCTGGAATCAAGAGGAGAAAAAATATCATTGTACTAAAAAAGGGGAAGAAACTGGCAGCTGAGAAAGAAACTGTACTTACTCAGGCTTGTCAAAACAAGGAAATATGCCTGAAGTAAAAGTTGGTGGCAGCTTTAAAAATGACAGTAAAGGAAATAGGGTTCTTTCCTTAAAAAAAAATAAAATCCATTCCTAGTGACAAGGAACTTGGTGCAGAAAAAAGCATCCTCTCCAAAAAGTGTCATTGAAACAGTTAGTATAAAATCTTAAAACAATTGATTCTTTTTATTATGCCAAATGATTTCAGTTGTGCACCCAGACTGAAAGAGAACAATTTCCTATTGCTAGATGTTTTTTTATTTCACTCAGATCAGTCCTGAGCCAATACAATCAACAGCAAACGGAGGGAGTTATGATACATAAGATTTTCTTGCTTGCTTCTATATAAGACCTGTTAACTTTTGTTGATGGGTTGCACAAACAATCTGATGTACTATCTTCTACTATATCATACTGTACTGTACTATATTCTTGAGATGCTATATATATATATTGGAAGATTATAGTTGGTGTTGGATTATAGTATCGTGGTAGGATTGGAATTCTTGAAGTCGGAGTTGTCTGAAATTATTGGTTGTTATACTCTGGCCTGTTTGGAAAGGATGAGGTTGGCACATTAGTTCTGCTTATGATACTCTTCTCATCTGGGCAGCAGAAGTATGAAACACTTAAGTCTGATATGCCTTAGTAAATAAATAAAAACCAGACCATTCCGCTCTTTTATTCTGCTGGAGTTCTAACAATGCATAGCTGATTGTGACCAGTACAATAAACAACAGTTATCTCTAGAACAGCCAGTCCTGGCACTAACAAAAGGGGCAGATGGCATTTAAAGATATCCTAAATGGTGCCCAGAATCTGGTGCAAAACTCTAGGGAACAATGGCTACAGCACTTGAACAATATGAACAAGAAATGAATAGAGCTGAGACAGAATATATTTTTCCTTGGTGCAGCTGCAGTCATTAGGAACTGTAAGTAGGTACGTAGATACTGTTCCTGATTCATCTGAATAATGTGTCAATAATAACATATTGAGGGTACATCAGAAATGAAAGCAAGAGCAGAATCATGAGGAGAGGCAGAAGAGAGTGACCTGTATAGGTCAGGATGGTCAGCTGGCTAGAACTTCAAGGGAGCATTGTTTTTGAGGTAAAAATATAGTGCAATTTTTTTTTGTTACTAGTCGTATATGTCCTCAGTATTCACATCCCATGAATAATTGAAGGTGATCCCAGCATTTAGATATTTTCTTTCTTTTTTCTGATCTATGGACAGAAATAGGATCATGGCTTAGGACAGGTAATAAGTCCCTGAGTTACGCTGTATTTGTAATGCTTTTCTGGAATTACTGGAAAAAATATTTTCCTGGAAATGCCACATCCGATCTAGGGTTGCCAGGTCTGCTTCCAAAAAATAGCGGACAAGTCGGGGGGGGGGGGGTTAAGTAGTAAAAAAAGTAGACTGTACGGCTTTAGATTACGTACCATTTCATCATAAAGCTTTTGAATAAAAAAAATGTCCACTATTTTGTGAAAAAAATAGTGAACATAATGTGAAAAAAGTGGACTGTCCACTCAAATAGTGGACACCTGGCAACCCTAATCAGATCATTGGAATATATCTACAGGGTAATTGAGGGAAAGCTAACTGGACTTGCTGATGTTTACTGGAAATTCTTAGACCCCTTCATTCCCATTTTTACCCCAGGCATTTTCCAAATATTCTTACATAGTTGTGTGTAATAACAGTGACAAAACAAAAAGTTTTCAGGACACATAGAAATGACTTTGAATAAGGAGGGAATAAGTTGGTTCTCTGGTCTGAGTGACCTCTTACTTTCTCAACCAAACAGTGAACAAAATGAAACTGTGTCATCCAGTTGTGCTCTCAAAGGCAGTTATGCACAATAGAAATTGCATAGTGCTTGGCAGGCAGACAGATTGGACTGAAAAGAGTTTTCTTTAAATCCATTTTGGCTTGCCAGGATTTTTGATAATATGGCATCAAAATTAGCAACTAAGACAAGAATGACAATGTTTTTAACTGCTCAACTATCATTCATTCGCTTGACTGAAACCCTTTTGTTTTGTATTCTCGACTAGGCTAACAAAAAATGAGTTGGATGATGAAGCCGCTGAGAGTTTTGCTGAAATGGTAAAGGTTAACAAGAGATTGGGCCATCTGTGGTGAGTTACGCTGGTTTATGAAGGACGCGTTTTTAGTCATGGCTGGGGGCAGTAAACCATATTTTAAGCACTAATAAAAATTCCATAGGAAGATCCATAATTGGTTATTTAAAGTATTTTGACTGAAAGATCCATTTAATGTTGTATATTTCTGTATTTATTATTTGCAGTCCACACTATCCCAGTGGATATCAGGGCATGTTACAAATGAGAAAATCAAGAAAAACCAACATATGACAAACACAGAAAAACAGCACCAAACAGTAATATCCTCACTTCAGCAGAAGCAAAATAGGGAAGGTCATTTGATGGTCTTTAAGACTGTTACTTGTTAACACAGGTGTTAAGTAACCTTTCTGGATGCATACCCCATTTGGAATTCCAGAAGCATGTCACAAAATGGCCCCTTAAGAGAAGCATACATGTTTACAAAATGCACATGGGCAATCACCGAGCACTTTCCTAGCAAAATAGATGAGCAGGCTCTCCATCCTTATCTCTAATGACAGACCTCAACCAGTGGGAAGGGAGGCAGGGGCGAGTAGCAAAAATGATCACAAATCACGTTCTATCCCTTACATGCTTTTTGTACATATGTACAGATAGGTGAGGCTTATGACATTATGACATAATGCTTCATCATTTTGGCATCATCATGGTGACAAAGAGGTGCTGGGGCTTCTAGGCTTCTCACCATCCCAGCTCATTTGGTCTTCCTTCAGGGTAGATGAGCACATTACCAGCATGAGAAGCATTCTTATAAATAGGACACTATAAGCTGCCCTTTGCTTTGAAGTGTGACAGCTTCCTATTTATCCATCTGTCTATATTTAAATTAAAATCAGGTGGAGCAGAGAGCCGAGCCTGGCAGGCACCAGCTTGCCTATCTGCACTCATAAGATACCAAGTTTAGATAATCAGCTGAAATGGTGGCTAGACATGTTGACATCATCTTCTTAAAAGCCAGGGATAAATTAGCCTTACCACTTTACATACGATTACATTACCAAAGGAGTAATTCTTCTTATGACTATTGTTAACTGATAGTTTGGAAGTCTGATGCCAGAGAGGAACAGCCAATGGTGAGATTCAGCTGATTCGCACCACTTCAGCAGAACCAGTAGCTAATTTTTTGTTGGCCAGGCCCAGAATGGACTTCCGGAAGCAGCATCCACACAGAGAACCAGTTGTTCACATATTTAAATCCCACCACTGGGAGCAGCCCATAGACTTGAAATATTGTAGACCTCGAATCTGTCTCTCATCAATTCTTTTCTTCATCCAAGTTTCTGTCTGTCCCATTTTATACTATTGAGTTTCTTTCTCATACTTTCTCAGGACTTAATAATCTTTTCGTAACCCCCCCCACACACACACACACCTTAACTGCTGGCTCACTCTGTCCCTACCCCCAAGACCAGCTCTACACTCCTTCACACATTTAACTCTGAAAGAAATCATATGAAAAGACGAAGGGATGACGAGGCAAAAAGAAACATTCTCCAAATTATATACCAGTTCTAAAAGTTTAATTCTAGTTCTTAAGTAATGTCCACTTCAAGAAGGGGGAGAGTCTGATTGAGTTGATTCCTTAGCAGACTGGAGCTATTGCATTGCTTCCTCTTTATTCTCTTATTTTCTCCTGCCTGATAAAATGGCTGTTGTTCTGCAGGCTGATGTACCTTTGGGCTTTGAGCTACAGTAGGTGACTCAAACCATTAGGTGTTTCTACGAATCAGACTGGCCACCAGGGTTAATAAATTTCAGTAACTTAGATGTTATTTTTTCTTCTTCACATCTGTCCCTTTGCTTGTTTTTACATTTCTAGTCTGCTTTTTAATTCAACTCAATCCTCAAGGCTGTTTACAAAAACAAGAAGCAGAACAAAAGACAAACACCAGGCAAACAAGTTCCAGTAAAAACAGTCATTAAAAAGATTTGTACAAGGCCATAAGCAATAATCGGGGGGGGGGGGGGAAGGCTGCCCACTCATCCTTTGTTTGTTGTGGCATAGTTCAGTTTCCCAGATGCCTTAAGTCAGCAACTCTGTGACTTTCTCACCAGTATGACCAAAGGCAGGGCAGGAAAAGATAAAACAGAATTTCTGGGTTCAGTTGGTCTGCTGGACTTATGAATGAATTTAGATTAAGCTACATTTAGGTGCACTGCCTTTCTGCCAATGCACTCAATCAAGATGGTTCACCTCTTTAAGGGATAAGGATAAGTAAAAGGATAAGTAAAAAGAAAGATGAAGAAAACAAAGAACAAAGTGGACTCAAGGTAGAAATATTTTGTAGTGTTATATGGCATATCTGCATATCTATATGTGGCCAGGGCAACCTCCTCATTTGGCCATTAAATCTGGAACCTGCTAGGGGGAAACTACATGGCAAAGCTCTACACAAGATGCCAGGGACTTCATGGAACTGGAAAATGTGGACCTCAAGGGGAAGAGCCAGGGAACAATGGGTCTCAGTCTAGCCAATGGGGGGGGGAAAACTTTGGGAGGTTCCTGCCTATGAAGAAGATCCACCTGCTTCTCAGACTTGTCCCACCCAACAACATTTAAAATATCAAAAATAGGGCGTGATTTTTTTAAGGTGTGTTGTAAGAAAGAATCCCATTGAGAAGATAACCCCTGCAAAGCCCTGCACCTCATGATCATTAATCTGGCCACAAATGGAGGGTGAGCATGGCATACATATGTGACTGGAATAGACAAGGTTCTCAGCTGCTGCAAAGGCAAACTACAGAGTCAACTTACTTTTAAAACATAGCCCAATATAACTTTTCTTCAAGATCATCTTTCATAAGCTTTTGACAGAGTAGAGGGTTAGAATCATGGATATTTAAATCCAACACATCTAGAAAGCACATGGATTGTTAAAGCTGGGACAGAACCTAAACAGGAAGAATTTTGTCTCTGCTAGAAAAGATGCTCCAGTTTATTGTATCCTAACCAACTTTATAAAGCTATGCATATAATTCATAAAGGCAACTAGGTTGCTGTTCAGAAAATGTATTCTAAAGATTGTTTGGCACCCAAGAATTTCTTGTTTGCTTCGACTGTCCCACTTTTTATTTCTTTGTGTCTGAAAAGCAGCATTTACCCAATGATGCTCCAAGACCAACACTATTAAGCTGTGTGTGTTCATATGCATACAGATAGTCCTTGACTTACAACCAGTCCTTTAACAATTGTTTGAAGTTATGATTGCTTGGAAAGGATGTTTTACTTTCATTCTAATAGATCATCCATTTGCTTTTAACTGGTTGCTTAAAGCCCCACAGTCATGCAATTGCCATCTGTAATTTCTCTGCCAGCTTTCTCAAAAGCCGGCAGGGAAGATTGCGAACTGTTGTAGCCAGCTAAATAATTTCCCCTTGCTGCACGGGGGTGGTGGTGAGATGAGGTCCTTCATCAGGCTGCAGAAACTAAGCTCAGATCCCACAAGTCTGAGTTCCATTCCTGCACTCCACTGCAGGAGTTCCCTTCTGCACATAGATGAGCTGCCTGCTCTCTTTCGCAGGTACTTCCTTTGCTTTGCCCACTTAACTTGCAGAGTTGCTTAATGACTGCAACTGGGAGAGGCAGGATCACAGTTGTTGAGAAAAGCAGTCATGTGGGCATCTCACTTAACAACCACTTCGCTCAATAAGCCAAGATTCTGGTTCCAATTATAGTTGTGAGTCAAGGATTACCTGTATATATAAAATTCTAAGCATCATTGTCTAACCAAGCTAAGAAACTGGCTATCACAGGCTTTTTTTTCCTCCAGTAACAAGATCACAGTTAGCTTAGCAGAATCTCTGCAATCAAATCACTTAGCAAAGCAGGCCAGTTGTCAACCATTATGTTCCAATGATTTTTCCAATGACTATAGAAGATGTTTGCCTACATCAGGTCAGAATTTAGCCTGGTGTCCCTCAAGGATTTCATCTTTGCTGATCAGATGAGAAGAATTATGCTTCGCTGTTTTTTCCTGGCACATACAAATAGGGATGGGGGGACTCATCTATTTCTAGTGAGTGCTGTTACTCCTGACTCAGAGTTCAAAATAGGTGCATTGTGGGTCCTGGTCATTCAACTCATAGCCCTGAAAATCAGTCTGGGAGAAGATATGTTTATTCCCACCACATTTTTGTTTTAAAGCCCTTCTTCTCTTACCCTTTCAACTTCTTTTGAGCTTCACATTAGAAAAGATGCAAGCAGCATGTCGTGAGATGAGATACAAATGAGGCAAGAAGGGAAAACAGTCTCCTACTACAGTCGTCCTAGTTGACAACTCCCCAGAGCAAGTCTTTGGAGGCATTCACTGAAGTGGTTCTCAGCCAGCACAATGTGGCCAGGGAATGGCCTTGTCAAGCAGTTGTGTAAAATCAGCTGGCATAATCCCCCCCCAGACAGCTGCTATGCTCTGATCACAAAGGAGTCGTGGAGTTAATAGTACAATTAAGCTCAGTAACCTTGAAAGAAGCTCTTGCACTTTAAATTGAAGAGGCTTGAAGCCTCTTGGCTCCACTTCTATGGCAAGATTGTCTGATTCCAAACAGGCCAGCCATGCAGATGGAAATCAGAAACCATTAATTCCTGGCTAGCCACCAGCTTCATTTGTCAAGAAGAGGGTTGATTTTCTGCATCAGACGCACCAAGCTCTGGCCAAGTGCATGACAGGCAGGATGCTACAAAATAGGCATTAGAGTTTGACCAGTGCAAAATATTTGTCTTCAGCCTGTTTTCTCCCTCCTTCCCCCCCCCCCCCCCCCCCCCCCCCCCCCCCCCCCCCAGGCTTATCCAGAATCAGATTACAGTTCGAGGAGCCAAGAGTTTAGCTGATGCTCTCCAGGACAATACAGCTCTCAAAGAAATCTGGTAAGATCTGAGAAATAACACCCACCAGTGAGACTTCAGCTCCGTGCCCTTTGTGGAAACCCCCCTAAATTGAATATTTCTCCTCAGAGAGGGAAAGCAAGAGATGCCCTTGGCCTCTTGTTGGAGCAAACTACAATTCCCAGAAACCTTCATCACTGACCCAATTGCTGAAACCTGCCAGGAGTTAATCATTTAGCAATATAGGTAGTCCTCAACTTAACAATAGTTCATTTAGTGACCTTTCAAAGTTACACTGAAAAAAATGCCTTATGAGTGTTTTTCACACATACGACTATTGCAGAATCTCCATGGTCACATGATTGAAATTCAGACATTGGCAACTGACTCATATTTATGACAGTTGCAGTGTCTCAGGGTCATGTGATCACTTTTAGCAATCTTATGACAAATAAAGCTAATGGGGAGCCAGATTCACTTTATAGCCATGTTGTTAACTTAACAACTGCAGTGAATCACTTAACAACTGGTCGTAAATGGAACAAAACTCACTTAACTGTCTCTCTTAGCAACAAAAGTCTTGGGCTCAATTGTGGACGTAAGCCAAGGACTATCTTATTTGGATCATCATAGGTATAAACTAAACATGCCTGTAGGTGTTTGCTATAGGCAGTTGCATAAACATACTCTGACTCAGTGCTTTAGCTAAAGTAAATATACCTATGTGGTGCCTATACTTATATTTCCTTATCATTTTCATGCTTTATGCAATTGATGATCCTACAGATGTTTAGCCCACAATGAAGGATGCTGACAGCTAGAGAGAGAGAGAGAGAGAGAGAGAGAGAGAGAGAGAGAGAGAGAGAAAAGTTCCCTAGATGGTGACTTACTGCCTCATCCTTAGTTAATGTTGCTTAATTAATTCCACTCCAATTAACTGTATAAAAATCTGATGGAAGCAGAAGAGATCCAATTTCATTTCTGTTAAATTGAGCTCACCTCACAATAATTAAAGTAAATTCTTGCTGAAGAAGAGGAACCTTAATATTTTCCTCAAAACAGAAGAATTGATCAGGCATTAGTGTCAGTATCCCCCTGGCAATGGCTAAGCATGGGGAATGTACGAAGGGCTGTTAGTGCTCTGAAGTGTTTCCACATCCTCCAATCCGAACAGCCAGGACCTAGAAGAAACAGGCAATGGAAAGACCTAGAAAAAAAGCTAAAGAGAAAGAAAAGGAAACACACTTACTGATACAGCTGTAGAAACAGCTGCTTTTTAAAACCATTTTTTCTCTTTTCCAATTTCAACAGCTTAAACGGAAACCCAATAAGTCAAGAGGAGGCCAAAGTCTTTGCAAATGAAAAGAGACTCATTGGCTTCTGAGAAACTTTTTCCAGGTTTGATGGTAATTGTCATGCCAGGACAAGTATAGTTTTGGCAGTGCTCAGAGCAATGCCAGAAGCCTGAGCAAAATGGACCTAAAACTTGAACAAAAAGATGGGCCCTCTGTGCATGTCTTGAGAATGATGTTTGAAAGGAGGACTTTACCTTAGTAATTAACCTGTTCTAACAACATTTGTGTTGGGAGCAGGCTTGGAGATACATCTGCAGAAACCTGGTTCAGAAGACAACCCTTAAAGCAGCGGCCCCCAATCTTTTAGGCACTAGGGAGCAGTTCTGGGGAGAAAGGCTTTTTCATGAATTGGAGAGGGTGTGGTTTCACGTGCTGCCTGCATCCTGCGGATGGGGCTTCACTTGTTTGCATGGATCGGTTGCTGGTATGCATTTTGAAGCTAGGAACCATCCCTGTGACCATCCCTTGTTTTGCTACTGGCTCACTTGGAACTTCTGCCAATTTACTCCTAGATCTTAGAGAGAAGAGAGGAAATGCATCCAACATGCTCACATAAGTGGTCCTTAATTTACCAAGTGGTTTAGTCAAATGATTGGGTTAGTGTTACAGAATGTTAAGTATCTTTTGTTCATAAAAAAATCTCTGTTTAGTGTTTTGGTTATCTGAGGATATTTAATAAGGGCTGAATCTCAGCCTCAATATGTTGGAAGAGAAGTATGATACAAATGAGATATTTGGGGGATGCTCCATTGTGGTATCTTTTTGTTCCAGTATTGATACATTCATTATTAGGGGGTTGGAAATAGAAATAAAAAAATATGAAAGATTGAACAATATAGTAGTAATTTTGAATTTAATTTGGTATATGAAGAATTCTGCATTTGTTGGATATGGACTATAGCTAAAATGTTTTACTTTGATGGAAATATAGTTTATGTTACAGCTTGGTCTGATGAAATGTATTCCTTTTTGCATATTCATTTGTTTCTCATGTGGCGGAATGCCACCAATCAAGGTTCAATTTATTGAAAGAATTATTTTCTTTATTAAAGTATTTCATTTTCTGCTTCCCTTGATTTGTATTTGTTCTGGTTGCATTGTACATTATCTTTTCTTTCATATATGCAGTACTTTTAAAAAAGATATGTAGAAATGGTTTAATTAGCACCACTGTTTACAAGTCAAAGCAAACAGACTTAGCATACCACAAGTTTTAGTGAACCCATTACCGTTGTTACCAGGAGGAAATAGGCATACTCTTGCAATCTTAAAATAAACGGACACATTGAATGAATTGTTCTTTTGTAAATGACCAATTGGTAATTTGTTACATCACCTTAAAATGTGATTCTCCCCCCCCCCCCATGGCACCATATATTTGAAATTAATTCAAAGCTTTCTTGGGGGGAAGTGTAGAGATTGTGATTCAAGGCCAGCGTATAGCAGAATTCAATATGTGGCTAAAAGAGGCTTTGGTTACAGTATATTAGTCATGATGACCGCAGCTGGTTCAATGAAAAAGTGTACAAAAGAGATGATTTGCATCCGTCAAAGAAAGAGACTGAGTTACTTGGCAATAAATTCATAAATTTTCTGGAGAAATATTTAAACTAAACAATGGGGACAGTGAGTTAATTGATACAGAACATCCCTGTCCCCGGCAATCTAAAAATTATAGGGTTATCAGTGCATGTAACATAGATGTGTATGTGGACAAGAATATCAACCTTGCTGTCAAGCAAAATCAAGCTTTTAATAACGAGCGCCACACAAAGTGCACTAACCAAATAGGTGGTAAGACAATAGGGGAACTCAGGCACCACTCAGGTTATGTAGAAAGTAAACACAGGGTCGGTCATAAAGGACTCAAATATCTATACACCAATGCACAGAGTATGAACAGCAAACAGGGTGAACTAGAAATTCAGGTCAGTGAGGGCAGATATGATATTGTTGCCATTACAGAAACATGGTGGGATGAAACCCACAAATGGAACACACAGCTAGAGGTATTTAATTATTTAAAAGAAACAGATCAAATAAAATAGGAGGTGGAGTTGCTCTCTATATAAGAAATAACTACATCTCCACAGAAATAGAGCATAACAATGACGAAAACTGTCTTGAATGCATTTGGGTCAATATAAAAGAGAGAAAAAATGACATTGCCATAGGTGTATACTATAGGCCACCCAACCAAACAGAGGAAATAGATGAACTTTTTGCTAGTCAGCTAACTAAGGTATGTAGGAAGCACATCACCATAGTAATGGGGGACTTTAATTACCCTGACATCAACTGGGAGACACCAAGTGGAAGATCAAACAGATTCCTGACAAACCTAGCAGACAACTTTGTCTCCCAAAAAGTAGAGAAGGGAACTAGGGGATTAGCCATTTTGGATCTAATTCTCATTAACAGAGATGAAATGATAGAAGGTGTTGAACCTTGGGAGGTAGTGATCATGCAATATTGGAATTCAACATTATGGAAGCACAAGCAATAGGACATAGTCAAACTAGAGTCTTGGACTTCAAGAGAGCTAATTTCAATAAACTTAGGGCTTGGGAAGGATTCCATGGATGAGAATCCTCCAGGGGAAAACAATGCAAGAAGCTTGGGAAATTTTGAAAAGCAAGATAATAGAAGCTCAGTCTACCTCAATACCAACAAAGAGGAAAAATAACAGCTCTCAAAAGAAACCAGCATGGCTGCATAAAGAACTCTCTGATAAATTGAAGGACAAAAAGGACAAGTATAAAAAGTGGAAAGAGGGACACATAACAAAGGCAGAATATCAGCAAATAGCCCGAGCCTGCAAAGAAGAAGTGAAGACAACTAAGGCTCAAAATGAACTAAGGCTTGCAACAAAAGTCAAAAATAACAAAAAAAAAGTTTCTTTTAACCTGTAAAAAGCAAGAAAAAAGTTAAGGAAATGATTGGTCCACTAGTGGGAGAAAGTGGCAAGGAGGCAACAAGCAACAGAAAGAAAGCAGAACTACTTGTTTTTTGCATCCGTATTTACACAAAGGGAAAAAACAGTCCAACCTATCAAAAACAGTACCGTAAAAAACAGATTAGAAACACAAGTTAAGATAGGCAAAAAAATGGTAAGTGAGCATCTGTCCACCTTAGATGAGTTCAAATCACCAGGACCAGATGGACTACACCCCTAGGTTCTCAAGGAACTGGCAAATGTGATCTCAGAACTACTGAACTATATCTTTCAAAGATCCTGGAACACTGGGGAACAACCAGAGGACTGGAAAAGAATTGATGTAGTTTCCATCTTCAAAAAAGGAAAAAAAATGGATCCAGGAAACTACAGACCTATCAGCCTGATCTCAATACCTGGGAAGATTCTAGAAAAGATAATCGAGCAACAAATCAGCAAACACCTAGAGGCAAACAAAGTCATAACCAAAACCCAAAAGCAGATCGTGCCAGACAAATCTTATTGCATTCTTTGACCAGGTGACAAAATAAGTGGACCAGAGGAATGCTGTGGATATATTTTACTTGGACTTCAGTAAGGCATTTGATAAAATAGATTACAACCTACTTCTTGATAAGATAGAAAAATGTGGGTTAGACAGCATCACCACCAGATGAATTCGTAGCTGGCTGACCGGCCCTACTCAGCATGTGGTCCTCAATGGAACTGCATCTACATGGAGGGAATTGTGCAGTGGGGTGCCCCAGGGCCCAGTGCTTTTCAACATCTTCATCAATGATTTGGATGAGAGGATAGATGGGGAATTCATCAAATTTGTAAATGACACCAAGCTGGCAGGAATAGCCAACACTCCAGAAGATAGGCTTAAGATACAGAAGGATCTTGACAGACTTGAACATTGGGCACTATCTAACAAAATGAAATTCAATGGTGAAAAAAGTAAGGCTCTACATTTAGGCAAGAAAAACCAAATGTACAGGTACAGTATAGGTGGTACCTTGCTCAATAGTAGCAACTGTGAGAGGGATCTTGGAGTCCTAGTGGACAATCACTTAAATATGAGCCAGCAGTTTGCTGCAGCTGCCAAAAAACCCAACACAGTGCTAAGCTGCATTAACAGAGAGATAGAATCAAGATTGTGTGAAGTGTTAATACCACTTTACAATGCCTTGGTAAGGCCACACTTGGAATACTGCATCCAGTTTTGGTCAACACGATGTAAAAAAGATGTTGAAACTCTAGAAAGAATACAAAAAGCAACAAAGATGATTAGGGGATTGGAGGCTAAAACATATAAGGAACGGTTGCTGGAATTGGGTATGTCTTGTTTAATGAAGAGAAGGACGAGGGGTAACATAATATCAGTGTTCTAATATCTCAGGGGCTGCCGCATAGAAGAGGGAATCAAGCTATTCACCAAAGCACCTGAAGGCAGGATAAGAAGCAACTGATGGAAACTAACCAAAGAGAGAAGCAACCTAGAACTAAGGAGAAATTTCCTGACAGAACAATCAATCAGTGGAACAACCTTCCTCCAGAAGCTGTGAATGCTCTAACACTGGAAGTTTTTAAGAAGAGAATGGACAGCCATTTGTCTGAAATGGTATAGGGTTTCCTGCCTGAGCAGGGGGTTGGACTAGATAACCTCCAAGGTCCCTTCCAAATTATTATTATTATTATTATTATTATTATTATTGTTGTTGTTGTTGTTGTTGTTGTTGTTGTTGTTGTTATATTGCTAGAAGGAGGGGGAAAAAGGTTTAAATAATACTAAAATAATGTGAACGATGACCAGAAAAACAACATAATTAGAATATTCAATTCCATTTTTTCAGCCTGAGCTAAAAAACAGCCACTAATACACTCATACCAGTGTAATGTATTCTAAAAAATATTGATAAATACAACATTGATAAATCCTCTTAAAAAACATATTGAAAGTAGGTGATCTTACCATATCAGCAGGAATTTTATAAATAGGGGTCATCACAAAAAAAGCCCTCTTAATTATACCTAAAATCTCCACAGTTGTGCATATTCTGCAACAAGTTTGAGTTAAATATATGCCGTTACTTAAATAATTACAACTTAATTGTAGTTTAAGGAGCTTAACTCTTAAGGGGCAAAAATGTTGAGGTATGAAAAAGTCATACCTGACGGTTCTTTCTGCTATCTTT